GAACCTCTTCAGCAGGGCTCTCAGCTCTGCAGACACCACAGTCAATCAAACATATTGGATCTGCAGGAAAAGAGGATTAATTGACTGCAGAGCTCTTGCAGCCACTTGTTGGAACATTGCTCTACACTGATCTTTCTCTTGGGCACACAGCAGCATTCCTGAGTTTTGGTTATCCCACCCAGCTGGCTTGGGAACACTTTGTTTTAGGAGGGCCCTGAATCCTGTTTTGGGAGAACCAAAGGCTCTGCCCCAGCCACACATCCAAACCTTCCTATGCTTTTCAAAGGGAAGAACAGACATGGCTAGAGAGCATCTCTTCCTCTGTTTCATCATTTATGGTTCTAAAGGAAGACTTCAGGTTGGATATTAGGAAGAATTTCTTCCCACAAAGATGCACTGGCACAGGGTGCACAGGGAGTGGTGAAGTCAGTGTCCCTGGAGGGGTTCAAGGAAAGGGGAGTTGTGTTACTTAAGGACATGGTTAGCGGGCAGCGTTGGTGACGGGTGGGTGGTTGGACTGGGTGATCACAGAGGTCTTTTCCAACCTGAATGATTCTATGATTCTGTAAGATTGCTAACGATCTTCCCCCCTCCACGTAAGCTGTAAACCAGGCACATTGTGGTCCCTCTCCCAGTGCAATCTTCGTTCACCTCAGCCTTCCTTGTGCTGAGCTAACCAAGTGTTCCAGCTTCACGCAGCCTTTCATCTCCAGCTGCCATATTAATAGAGCACAGTAAATGAGATTTGGCCTGCACTCAGCATCTTATAAATTCCAAATGCTTTGCATTAAGCATGTACCCCACTGTCCATTGTTTGGTGCTTGGGGAGAGCTCAGCTGTGGTTGCATAGCACAGCGAAGTATTTCATGCCAGGCCGTGGCAGAAGCAGTGATAGTATTGATAGTGCTTTATTCACATTTACAAATGAAAGACCAAATGTGTCTTTTATTGATTTGCCTGTTTAGTGCAAGATGCTCTTCAAAGTCACAGTGACGTGGTGCTGAAAGCCCTGGAAGATAAAAGCCAAATGGAGCAGGCACTGCTGGAGATGGAGAGGAGACTGGCGGCTGTAAGTGGGGAAATTAATCTTTTATTCTGAATCTTCATTCCGAATTTCTCCAATTTCTTCAAAATATTAACTGAATATTAAATTGTCTTCAGACAGAGGATTACAAACTAGACCGTTTCTATTGTATTGAATGGGGAAAGCATATTAAAATGCAAATTCTGGACCACGTACTGGCTGATGCTTACCCAGGAGCCCATACACAGTGCTGTCAGCACTGATGGAATCGTGGTCAGAGAGAAGGGAGCCCAACAGTGCCCTGTGGTGGCAGCCGCACGGTGAAGCACTGCTTTCTTGCTCTGTCACATGCCTTTGCTGGAGGAGGTGGTGCAGTGCATGCCCACCTTTGGGTCACAATAAATACATTTTACACAGAGTGATACAAATCGCTAAGATTGGGTCTTAAAGTGTCTCACTGATGCGTGGTACCAAAGTTTCCTCTTTGAATCCTATTATTGTACTTTGTAATGCATTGTTTACTGCTTCTGCTCACTGCTCCCCCAGAAAGATGTGGATATTTCAGATGTGAAATCCAGTGTCCTGCAGCTGAAGGAGGGTCTGGAGTCACTGCCAGCTCAGCTCAGCGACCACCACCTGAAGCTATGTGAAGAATTACGCTCCCTGAAGCTCCCCAGTGCCTTAGCTGAGCTGCAGACCTTCATGACCAGTGCCAAAGTCCCCCCCAGGATGGTGGATAACTCCTCCCAGACCTCGCCTGACACGTGCCAGGACCGTGCCCCACGCCAGCAGAAAGCACACTGGCCGTGCTGCCATGGTACAGGGGGCTGCAGTTCCTTGGGTCTGTCTGCTGCGGGGAAGCAGCACAGAGTCAGCGGGGACGTGACGCCTCGGGGTGGCCTCGATACACCTTGTGAAAGCAAAGTCAGCCCCGTTGCTACAGCTGCGTATGGCAGGGAGGTGGAATCTGCTTTGGTAGCACAGAGCTGCTCTCACCATCCGTGTGCGTGCAGTGCTAACAGCCAGTTTCGGGGGGACGGTCGGAAAAAGCCCATTCCTGTACTGCAGGAGATATCCCCAGTCACTCCTCTGAGGAAGGCAGTCCGCAGAGGTACCAGTGGATTTAAACCCGTGACACCATCACAGCAGAGGCAGCCTCAAGCGTGCCATCTCTTTGTGCAAAGCAACGTGTCTGGGCAGAGAGATGGGAGCTCGTCCACGGACCAGGAGCTGGAGAACATAGCCGTAGGGAACAAGGCAAAGCTGAAGCTGGGAAGGATCCCCTGGAATAAAGTAATGGAGAGGAAGAAAACACACCCCGGCAAGAGAAAAGGGGAGCTCGCCAGGTGTGCTGATGGTGGGCTGAAGCAAGTAAGAGCAAACAGGATTATCGGGTTGGGAAGCACAAGAAAAAATTGCTTTCCCAGATACACAGTTGCTCTCAGTTTAGCAAGCTCTAACCCAATTCCTGCAGCTCCCCATCAACAGATGCTCAGCAGTGCTCAGCCCAGGCTTACGAAGAGTTTCCTCCCAGTGTCGTGCTCCAATAAAAGCATGCTCCAACTTGCAGACCAAAGAAAGAGAAGTTTGGAAAACAGAAAAAGAGCCATAGCTGCCAGTGTGAGAAGGGATTTCTGGGACTCCTCTCCCCAGGAGAGTCTGTTCTCCCTGCGCAGAGCAGGTGAAAAGCAGGCGAGCTGCTCCACAGGCTCCACCAACCCGTGTCCTGGCAAAGTGCAGGGCACAGAATGTTGCTCCTTAGTTTTTGATAGTGATTATTCAGATTGAGGGGTTTTGTTTTCAGAGCCTCCAGTGCAGACATGGCTGTCTGTGTTGCTGTTTACTCCTGTTCAGTCTCCTACAGCTGATGCTGGGAGCTCCTGTTGGGACTGCTGAGAAGGGCCGAGTGCGAGCACAGCCCCTTGAAAACAGGCAGGGCTCCTGCCTGGCCCCAAGCATGTCACTGCCTGCTCACATCCATCTTCAGAGACAGCTTAGGATCTGAGGCTTGGGAAGCTGCGTGGGTCTGCGTTGTTTTACCCCCACCAGAAGTGCCCCGGGCTCTGCTTACTGTTGTGTTCACACAGCAGAGAAGTGCCTGCACTCCGCTGAGACTTTCAGCCCTACCCCTCTAATAACATCTTTGTAGCTGGAGGCTTTCACTCCTCTCTTACTCGTAGTCTCTGTTTTGGTTTGCATGTCTGCAAGTTCTGACTTTTGGCTCTCTAGAAAGTAGGGGTGTTTTTCTGACTGTTTTTGGTAAGGTTAAGATTTGCCCCAAGAGCTGTTTTTGAGTTTTGATGGACAAGGGCTAGGCTGAGGAAAGCAAAGTCCCAGCAACCCGGTGCATGGACTGCTGTGCTGCTTCTCCCTTGAGGCCAAACTTTGTTTCAGGAAATTCAGGATGTTGTTTAGTTTCTATCACAGTAGCCTCATGTCTCTCCTATGAATAAAGGACGTGTCCATCTTAAACTTTTCAAGGACGGCTTTGGACAGAAGCCCAAAGAAGCAAAGTCGAAATTCAACACCTTCAGTAACTGATGGATATTTCTCATCTTTTAGATGTAGTTCTTTGGCTCAGGGTCATCCCAGCTGTGCAGATGTTGACTGGGAAGGGACCACCTCACCACCAGCCTGGGATAAATGGCAGCTCGAGCCCTCGGCAACCCCAGGAGCAAACAGAGCAGATCTTGCTGGGTCACCAGCCGTGGATCTGTTTCCACAGCTTCGAATGTTTTTGCCCTTTTGATCTTTGATCTGAGCTGCTGGTGGAAGAAGCGTTTCAATATTGACAGAGCAGTCTGTTGCCACGAACCCACATGGCGCAGCGCTCTCATCCTGCAGGGGAGGGCTGGGATCGTTTGCCTGGCTTTAATAAACACGTTGTTTCTTTGCAAATGTCTCATTTCTCTGTACTGGTTGGTTTTTTTTTCAGGGGAGGTGATATCCCATTTCAGCAGGTGAACAGACAGCGTGACAGCTGCCCACAGCCTTTCTTCCTTTTACATTTCCCCTCTGCAGCTGCTCTCCTCAGAGTGCAGCAATTTGCGGTGGGTGAAACCTGCTGTGGGGAGCTGAGGTTCTCACTGCATTTTGGGGATAGGAGGGCTTGGTGCTCTCCATTCTGCACTGCTGCCAGCCCGGCAGCACACTGCTGAGCTTGGAGGGACCTCTGCTGCGAGCCCCAAGGACGGCATAGCCCCAGGCCTAAGTGCAGCGGGGTCGCGCTGGGGATCCCACGGGCACGGAGGGGTCGTGAGCAGCGTTTCGGGATGCAGAGCAGTGAGCGGTGCTCCCCCCGCGCTGGCCTCCGTGGAGACATGGGGGTGATGCGCCGGGGTGCGGTGTCACCCATGTGGCGCGGGGCACAGACACGCACACGCACTGCGGAGATGGCCCTGAGTCACCGGGCAGAGCGGGAGAGCGCCGGCGGCGCGGGGATGCGGGAGCTGCATGGAGCCGGAGGAACCGCGGCGGCTGAGATACGGGGGGCGGAGGGCGCAGCCGGCCCGTGCGCAGGGTGAGGCCGGCACTGCCCCGCTCGCCCCGCAGCCTCCCCGCGGCTAATCCCGGGATCAGCCGCCTGCCTGCTGCCTTTGTGGGGCCGGCATTGCCCAAATTCCCCGGCCCTGAGCTCGGCGCAGCGGTGCTGCAGTAGCAGCGGGCAGGGGGTGCCGGTGCCGCCCCTCGCCTCTTGGGGGCACCTTTTGGGAACGCCGCCCTGCACGGTAACGCAGCCCCCGGGTGCGGGTGGCCGGGACGCAGAGTCACCCCCGGATTTGGGTGTCACCGGCACAAGGGCTGCCTTCGCTGCCTGCCCCGCTTTAGCATCCCCTATGGAAACCTGTCCCTGCCCCGCCGTACCGCACCGCACCGCCCCTCCCGCCCCAATGCCGGGCGGGTTCCCGGTGCGGGTGCCCGCGGCTCGGAGCGGCGCGTGACCGCCTGCCGCCGCCTCCCGCTCCGCCGCAGAGCCCGGCCCGCACCGGCAGCGGCAGCGGCAGCGGCAGGTCAGCGGGGGCTGCGGCGGTACGGGCTTCGGGGCCTCCCCGGGCTGCGGCGGGCGGCGGGAGGCAGCCGGGGACGCGGCAAGGTGAACGGAGCGCGGCGGAGAGGGGTTGTCGGTACCGGGAACACGGGGGATGGGGACACCGGGAGCGGGGACGCCGGGGATGCTGTGTGCGGGCAGCACAGGCACCATGGAGCATCCGCACCGGGGATGGGGACGCTGGGGATGGGGACTGCCGACCACCAGGGCCGCTGCAAATGGGAGCGTTGGGAATGCGGGCTACTGGCACCGGGGACACCGGGAATAGGCCCAGCTGGGATGCAGCCAGGAACCACCCGGGATGGGGCGCAGCTGGGCACGGGCCCCAGTGCAGGGAAACAGGGACAGTCCCCACCCCCAGGCAGCGTCACTCCCATTCACCAACCCCCTGTCCCCGCAGGGTGAAGGTGAAGGCTCACCATGGCTGCAGTGTGGCTTATCACCTGGACGCTGCTCCTGGCTGACAGGGTCTCCACCACGGCCCAGGAGACACTGTCCCCAGAGGAGACATCACAGCAGGGCAGGGTACCCCTGCACGTCCCATCCTGGGGACACCTGGGGACACCTCCAGCCTGGGATGCATCGGGGGAGCTGAGTGGTGCTGGGAACATCGAGAGTGAGCGCTGGAGAGGTGGCAGTCCTGTGCACTGGTCTCAACTGCCACAGCTGGGCACTGTCACTAGGACACCTCGGGTGACAGGGGCAAGCCTGGCAGGTGACACAACCCTGGCTGTGGTAGAGGAGTCCTTCACCTGGCAAGGACGTGAGGCCGAAGGCCAGGGCAGCTCCAGGGGGAAGACAGAGCTACCTCACAGCTCCACACCAGGGATGGCATCCCCCCAGGTGCCCATAGACACAGGGCCACCCTGGGCAGGTCAGGGGACACTCCCATCTGAGCAGAGTGCATCCCTGCCAGGCAGCACTCCCAGCCCTCAGCCAACCATGTCCACTATTGCCCTGACCCCAGAGCCAGCAGTGGGGACCCGAGCGGTGACAGCAGCCACACACACCTGGGGACAGCCAGCAGCTGCGGGCAGCAGCAAACAGGGACTATGGGGTCACCTCAGCACTGCTCCTGCCTCCACCCTGGGGGAGCACAGAGCCCCATCCCGTGGGCTGACACCCAAGATGGCACAGGAGGTGAGGGCTGAGACCTGGACTTGGCTGCTGCCTGCGCATCAGAGAAGCACACGCAGAGCCCCACTCAGCAATGCCACCGCCGGGGATGTGGCACCTGCCAGGTCAACAAGACTGCGGGACCCCCAGCCCACCCTCAGCACCAGCATCACACCGCCGCCCATCTCCAGCACGTCTCCCCCTGGCACTCCTTATACAGGTAGGAGCTGGCAAGATGCACGGACACCTCACAGTGACTGAGCCCTGGGTGCCACCTGTCCTCTCTCTCACAGGGCTGCTCCCTGAGCAAGACGTCGGCTCCCCGCAGCGAGTCCGGGGCGCTGTGGGGCATGGCAGCATCCCCAATGCCACCGAGGTGACCGTGCCCACAGTGCGCCCCACAGCAGGGACACCATCCAGCACCAGGCGCTCAGGTGAGCTGCAGTGTGGACAAGCACCGTCCCAGCATGGGGTCTGGGGGTTGACCACCAGCTGGGCGAGGGGATGGCAGCTATCTTGGGCTGAGGTGCCACCTTCAATCAGGATTGTGCCCAGCGATGGCCCTAATCTACTGCCTATAGGGATTATCGCGGTTAGAGCCAGGCAGGAGGGGGCTTCCCTGTGGGGTCAGAGACAGTGCACTCAGCTGGAGCATTGGCCATCGCAATAGATCCACATATGGGGCACCCCACTAACGAACAGCCCTCTCTCTACCTGCAGATGCCGCAGGGACGCAGCCCCCTGCTGCCAGCAGCACCGCAGTCCCCTCAGCCACGTGGCGGCAGGGAGTGGTATGGGTGACAACGCAGCGCGCCCCATGGCGTCCCATGAAGCCGGAGCCCAGCAAGCCCCCCTCAGAGCCCAGCATCTGTACGGGGGCTTCATGCACTGCTGGGAGCTCCAACACGACAGCAGCGGGCTGGGCTGAACTACGCCGTCCCCTTCGCATCGCCTGGGCCGTGCACGCTTATGTAGGGGCCGCGCTGTGCCTGCTGCTGGCACTGGGCTGCACAGCGGGGCTGGGGGGGACCATCCTGCAGCGGCCACCCCACTGTGCCCTACTGCTGGGCACCACGGGGCTGCTGCTGGCCGCCAGCCTGCTGCGGGGCACCTTCCTGCTGCTGGATCCGTATGGGGCGCGGGGCCGGCTGCCGCCCCGCTGCACGTTGCTGCTCTGCTCCGTGCCCTTCACGCTGCTGCTGGGAGCCTTCGCTCTGCTGCTGGGCCGCCTGCAGCGCATGGCACAGCTCTGCCTGCTGCCCCCCTCCTTGGGGGGGCTGCCCGCGCTGGGGGTCACGGCCGTGCTGCAGTGCCTCGCCCCTGTGGCGGCTGATCTGCTGTGGCCACGATGGGGTTTAGGCGCAGGGTTAGCGCTGCACGGGGTGGGCTGCGTGTTCGCCACACTGCTGCTCCTGGGGGGGCTGCGGGGTGGCTGGCGGGGGTCCCGTCGCGAGGGGCTGCGATGCGGGGCACGGGCGCTGCTGGCGGCAGGGCTGCTGGGGGTGCCGTGCTGCTCGCTGCAGCTGCTCAGTGCCGCGTGGCTGCGGGGCGGCGTGGGCCCGGCCGGGCGCTGCGGGTGGCCCTGCTGGGCGGCCATGGGATGGATGCGGGTGGGAGAGGCGGGCGTAGGGCTGGCGGTGCTGCTGGGGGCGGCCGAGCCGCTGTGGCGGGGACGGAGGGAGGAGGCGGCGGGGCACTCGTGCTGGGCCAAAGCCGTGCGGTACTTCTGCGCCGGGCGCAAGGCCCAAGCACCCGAATATCCCAACAACTGCTATGAGCACGCGCCCACCGGAGACATCTCCAAGAGCCTCATCCGCAACCCGGCCGAGCAGCTCCCGCTGCGGGCGCTGAAGGACAGCAACGCGGCCGTGGCTGCGGGGACGCCGGGCCTCAGCCCCAAGTGCCCCAACGTGGCGGTGGCAGCCATCCGCGAGCACGGCTCCTCGGCCTCGCTGGGCGAACTGGTCTTCCGCCCGCCATCCCCCATCGACCTGCGGCGCAGCATCGACCAGGCGCTGTGCCGCCGGCACCTGCTGCGCGAGGGGCTGTTTGGGCGGCCGCGCCGCGGCTCCGGGGCCTCCATCCGCACCTTTGAGCCCCAAACCAGTATGGTGCGCTGCAGCTCCCTGACCGAGCTGCCCCGCGGAGAGGCCGATGTGTCCGTCAGCTCCATGGAGAGCTTCTCGCTGAAGATCAGCTGGAACCCGTGGCGGCACGGCCTGTCCTCGCCCGACAGCTTGCCGTTGGAGGAGGCGCCAAGCCGGGCGCAGCTGCTGGCCCACCAGGAGACCCCCCCAGCCCTGCAGCCCCCCGGCTCTGAGCCCGAGGCGCGGCGCAGCTTCCTGGCGCTCAGCAGGCAGGTGGACGCCCGCAGCCTCTCCAGCGACACCATTGAGCTCTGAGGTGTCACCTCGCACAGCCACATCCCCTCCTGCTGTGACCCTCAGCCAGCTCCGTTTGTGCCAAAAAAAAGAGAAATAAAGTTTATGACCCAACCAGGAGGCCCCCGCGCCCTGTGCCCCCCAGCAGCCATGGTGGGTGTGCAGAGCTTTAATTCCTGAGATACACACACAGATATGAGCACACCTCGACGGACGGACAGACCACGGACGAATGCGACTGCCACGTGCATGCATCCAGAGAGGCCCCCCCAGGACCAGCGTTGAGCTGAGGGCCACTGCCACCCCCCAACCTCCCCAGCCACACTCGCCCTGTCTGGGGACACAGGGGCTGGGGAGGGGAAGCACAAGGGCTCTGCCCTGGGAACACAAGGAAGAGGATTTAGGGATGGGGAGCTGAGCTTGGGGTGGGGGGACCCTGCCCCCCCTTCTCCTCTCCCTATCCTCCATGCTGTGCTGGGAGGTGGGACCACAATCCCTATGGCAGAGTGCCCCAACACGCGAGAGGTGGGGGGCAGCATGCTGTGCCCCCTCAGCAGCGCTGCACCTGCAGGACCCCACTTCTGCATAGGACAAGGCGGGGAGGACGAGGTCCCTACTCTTACCAGTGGGGGGGTACATGCAGGGCCCCACGCACAACCCCCCGCCTACAGCTATCTGCCCTTCATGAAGCCATCCAGGACGCGGTCGCTGCGATCGGACAGCCAATAGCCGGCCATGGCAGCCACGGCACCGATGAAGATGGCGGTGAACACCATGTCACCCTTGGCAGCCAGCGTGGCCAGGGCGCAGATCATCACCCCGAAAAACATCTGCTGCAGCACCACCACCTCATCATCCGTCACATCATCAAAGAATCCTTTCTCTGGGGCATCTGCAGGGATGACAATGGTGGGTGAGGGCATCCCTCCGTGCCCCCCTCCCCAAACCCGTGCCATACCGGGGGGTTTGTCCTCCACACACTGCCCATCCCTGCGCACGTGGCCCGGAGCGCAGATGCAGCGATAGCCGCCCTCCGTGTTCTCGCACACCTCCTGCAGCCCCGTGCAGATGGGCTCCTCGCTGCTGGTGCACTCATCCACATCTGCAGGGAGCGCCCAGGTAGTGGCGTGGGGGCACTGGGCACCACATCCCCCATACAGGTGTGCCAAGAGCACTCACCCAGGCACTTGGCCCCATCCCGCCGGTAGCCCTTGTTGCACTTCTTGCAACGCGCCGGCCCTGCGCCCATGCAGCCGATGCAGGCAGTAGAGCAATCTGCAGCATATTGAGGAGGGAACAGAAAGGAAGATGGGGGGCTGCCACAGCTGAAGGGGGCCATCCCATATTGCCACCTCATTGCTACCCCGCTGCCCTCGCACCTCGGCACTCGTAGGAGCCCTCAGTGTTGACACAAAACTGGTTGGCCCTGCAGTGTGCCATCTCCGTGCCGCACTCATCAATATCTGTGGATCAGAGGCAATGAACCCACGGCGCTCTCCCGGGATCCCCACCCCAATATCCAGCCCCACATCTCTGTGCACCAACCGATGCAGCGGTGCTCGTGCAGCACCCAGCCTCTCTTGCAGCGCAGGCAGCTGGAGTCCTCTGGCCCTGTGCAGCGCCCGCAGGCCGGGTAGCACTCTGCAAGGGTGGGCACAGGGTGGTGAACACAAGGTGGTGGGCACAAGGTGGTGGGCACAAGGTGGTGGGCACAAAGCCCTCAGTACAGCACAGCACGGTGCTTACCTGCACACAGCAGCTGGCTCTGGTTGCGTGATGCCTCATAGTAGCCATCTCCACACTCGGCACAGAAAGGACCTCCATAGCCGGGGCTGCAGACGCACAGCCCGGTGCCACCCCGTGTCCCTTCTCCATCACAGCGCCCGTTGCCACTGCAGGGTTGCTGGGGGCCACCGGCACAGGCTGTGAGGACATGGGGGGGAAGGTGAGGACACGGGGCACCTCCCTTCCCATTCCCCCGTGCTCACTGCAGGACTCACGCAGGCAGTCAGGGCCGTAGGTGCCGGGCGGGCAGCACAGCGCCAGGCGCTCCATGCACAGCCACTGGAAGAAGTCAGGGTGCTGCTGTCGCCTGGGGACACACACACAATACTCAAGCCCTGTGCCCCCCTGTACGCCCTCCCTCAGCCCCATGTCCCCCACTCACTCATGGAACCACCATTGCTCCACGTGCTCCTCGCTGCGCTCCAGCAGCTGGTGGCAGGCAAAGTCCTGGGGGGGGCACACGCTCTCCAGCACCTCCAGCAGCCGTGTCTCACTGTGGGGTCATGTTGATGGTTACGGAGGATCTCCGAAGGCTGTCCCCACAATGTGCACCAGCTCACCTGTGCTTGTACTTGGCCAGCTTCTCCTCCTCCCAGGCCGTGTTGCCCCCACCGAAGCCTTCGTGTTCCGTTCGTTCCATTCCCTGGGCATGCAGGGGGGATGGCCCAGACACCGTAGGACCACACAGCTGAGCCCTCCCACCATGGATACAGCCCCCACACAGGGTTACCCTCAGCCCACTTCCCCAGGACTGTCCTCCCCTGCACTCTGTCATTCCCAGGCCATCCCCCTGCCTCCCCCCAAGAGCCATATCACCTCTTGCGTCCCCCCAGCCACATCACCCATCCCCTCCCAAACCATGTCTCTCCTCATCCCCCTCCACCAAACCATGCCACCCCCTGTGCCCTGCACGCCATCACCCCGTTCTTCCCCTCCCAGCACCACCTACGTAATCCCCATGTTATCTCCCTGTAAGATCCCAGCTCAGGTTGTCAGCCTCCGCCCCAGATATCACCAACGTGGCCTATCCCGCCCCCCCAGCAGCGGCAGCAGCGCGGCCGCCAGGCGCCGCCGCGGCCCCATCCTCCAGCCCCGCCCCTCGGCGTGCGCCGCGCCCGCTGACTCAGCTCCCACCTCCCTCCGCCAATCGGCGCCGCGCGCCACGCCCCGCCCCTCATCCCGCAGCCAATCCGTACAGCCCTCCGGGAGCCGCCTTAAAGGCGCCACCGCCCTTTTTTCACAGCCACACCAAGGACTTCGGGCCACATCGCTCTTTATTCACCCAGCGCCCTCCGCAGCCTCTCGGCCACCGCGGCCGCGTGGGGCTCCAGCCGGCAGCCACGCTGCCCCGCCAGCGCCTGCAGGAAGCCCACAGCCTCGCTGGGCAACACAAAGGCTGGGGCTGCCCGCAGCACTTGGGGCACTGATGTCACTGCGGGCTCCAAACGGGCCACCACATAGTGCCCAGCGCCCGCAGACAGCACCGGGATGGCACAGGACAGAGCTGCAGCAAAGGCTTCGCATGGTTCCACCTCATTGCCGGGGCCACTAGAAGTGTCCCCAGCCCTTGACACACCCCCGGCGGCATCCTCCCACCGCCTGGCAGCAGCCTCAGCCGCTGGGGACAGGAGGAGGACGACGGTGTCCCCACCCCGCAGCGCCTTCTGGTGCAGTGCATGCAGCCACGGCAGCGGCCCCCAAGCTGCCACCCCACTGCCACCACCTGGCGCAGCCACCACCGCCATCCCCATCGGGCGCAGGGCTGCTGCCAGCGCGCAGGCTGCACGCTCTGCCACCGGCTCTGCCGCATGCAGGAGGAGTGCGCGGCGTCCCCACAACGGGGCTGTGGGACAGCATCAGTGGCGTCCCCCAAGAGCCCCATGGGGGTGGCCCCATAGGGGACTCAGCCCCACAGAGTGATCCCCACTACTCACCCTTGGAACCACACCCAGTGCGCAGGGACTTGAGCCAAACTGCAGGGAACAGAGAGGGTGACACAGTGCTGAGCATGCAATTTTGGCCACGTGCAGCCTCACTGTGCTCACCCTTCATGTCCTCCTTCTTCAGCAGCAGCAGCAGCAGGATGCAGGCGGCGCACACCAGCACCCCCAGCCAGGCCAGCGCCCAGCGGGCACGCATGTCTGTGGGGCACAGCGTCACTACCTATCCCATGCCCCTGGCACCTGCAGCATCCCTTCCTTTTACTCACACTTGTGCATGGGACAAGCCCACAGTGTGACCCCACTGCCGTTTTCAGGACGCCAGAGCTGTAGGCACAAGGACACATCACACAACGTCACGTGCCGGCCCATCAGTGCCCGCCAGATGCTGCCCATGCACTGACCTGCATACACTGCCCTGATGCCACGTCCTCCTGCAGCTGTTGCTCCAGCAGCCCCGGGCGGCCGGCTTCCTGCAGGGGGTACAGCTGAGCCAGAGGCATGGTGGCAGTACCCTCAGCCACAGGGACCAGGGGGACCCTTGACCCTTACCACGGCAGCGAAGCTGGCAAGCGGTATGCAGTTGCCCTGCTGCAGGGCGCAGAGCGATGTGTTCCCTCCAGGCTCCATCACCAGGATGTCATCTGCATGGCCAGGCAGCACTCCAGGGTGCTCACGGTCCCGCAGGCACTGTGTCAGCCAGACCCTCCCGCTGCTCCTCACCTGCAGGAGAGAACTAATTGGATAAGATGGCCGTGGAGTAGCTGTGGGGCAGCCACAGGGCGAGGATGCCTGCTACCTGCACACAGAGATTGGGGTGTGGCTGCAGCGCTTGGAACTCCTGTGGTCCCTGCAGGCAGAGGGCAGCCCATCAGTGCCATGCATCCCTTTGGCATGTCCTGGCTCCATGAGGATGCTCACCTGCCCGGTGACAGGCTGCTGCAAGCCGGGCAGGGCATGGCACGGCGCAGCAGGTGCCGGGCTCCAGCAGGGCACCAGCTCAGCTGGGAGGTCGCAGGGTGCGGAGACAAAACAGGTGAATGTTTGCCCCACATCATGCAGCACCAGCTGGGTCTGCACCCACAGTCGCTCCCACGCTGCTGCATCTGCATGGGGAGAGGGGTCTGTGTGTGGGTTCCCGAGGGTCTTGGTGCATCACCATGGTGCGTCTGCCCATGTCCCAGTATCCCTATGGATGTCCCACCCCAGTGTTGGTACCATGGGAGAAAGGGCACAGGGTGGCACGCAGCGGGTCTTGGATCTCTGGCCAGACCTGTGGGTGGAGAAGAGAGAGCAGAAAAACGATTTAGGGTGCCCATGTTGTTCACACCCAGCTGGCCCCCCTGGGATGGTGACACCTTCCCACCTCCTGCTGTGTCCCTGCAGCGCCCAGCCCGGCTCCTACCTGCAGGCAGAGGCAGGGCAGCACCTCTTCCAGTGGCACACTGTAGTTCATGGGCCCACTCTGTGACCAAGAGTGAGACGTGGGTCACCCCACAGCACACCACCCCACAGCGGGGTGACGGCAGCAGTGTTGGGATAGGAAGGGGCAGGCACTCACTGCCGTCACTACGTGTCCCGACCCACTGGCACCGTGGCTGTGGTTGTGGTAGAGCCGCAGGGTATAGTTGAGCTCCACTGTGGCCACCTGCACCTCCACCAGCACCGCCGTCAACCCCGGCGAAACCTGCAGCCTGGGCACTGCATGCGGGCGGCTCAGGGCACCCTGTGCCAGGTGCCCCAATGCCTCCCACACCAGTGGCACGGCCAGCTGGGAGCCCAGCACGGAGCCACGGGCACCTACCTTGGCACTGCGGGATGGCAGCCCGGGCAGCGGGCCACGAGCAGTCTGCAGGAATAGTAAATAGGGTGAGAGGGTGAGGAGGCATGGGGCGGCGCAGCAGGGCCGGGGCTCACCTGGCAGCCGCCTCCTCTGGCTCAGCCGGCGGCGGCCGCGTGCGCTGCCATATGCGGCGACGTGCAGCTCCGAGCCCAGCGGTGCCTCGAAGCAGCGGAACCGCACCGAGCCCTGCGCAGGAAAACCACAGCGCCGTGCCCACATCCCACGTGCCACGGTCCCGGCCCGCCCCCCCGCCCGACCGCGGCGCAGACGTACCAGGGGCCGGCCGGGCAGAACGGATGATGCGCGGACCTCCACGGCCACGCAGCGGGACGAGGCGAACCCGTGAGCGGAGAGCAGCAGCAGCGCCGCGACGTCGCGCCGGGGCGAGGCGGCTGTCCCCGCGTCACCGGCACCGTCCTCGGGCTCGAGGCCCAGGCGCAGCCGGGCCCGCAGACACGGCGAGCAGCCGCCCGGCTCCGCGCAGCGCAGCGCCGGCTCCAGCCGAAGACCCAGCAGCGCCAGCCCCGGGCCCGGCGCTGCAGGCTCCGTCCCGCACAGCACGTCGGCGTCTGCGGGAGCAGAGCGGGAACGAGTCAGCGCCGCTCCCCTCCGCCCGGCAGCGGGGCCGCGGCGCGGGCACTTACCGAGCAGGCGGCAGGCGAGGCCCTGCGGGCAGGAGGCGTGAGGACGCGGCCCGGCCCCGCGGCCCCGCTGCCCCCGCCACGCCGACACACCTGCGAGCAGATCACGGCGTCGCGGGGAGCCCCGAGCACGCCCACCGCCAGCAGCAGCAGCAGCAGCCCCGGGGCGCGCCCGGTGGGGCCGGGGCACCCCATGGCCCCGGCCCCACGGCCCTGCTCCCAGCCCACGGTCCCCGCCGCCGCCACCACTGCTGACTCCCGCTTCCTGCTCCGCTCCCGAGCTCCCGGGACCGCCCTGGGGTGGGGCCTGCCCCGCTCTGCCCCGCTCTGCCCCGCTCTGCCCCGCACGGGTCCCGCAGACCGGGCTCCTGCGGTCGCGTGGAGCGGCGCGGCCTGCTTTGCTCCCGACGGGCGCGGGGTTGCGGTGCTGCCGGGGCCCGCCCAGGGGTGAGCGCACCGGGCCGGCAGCCCCAAAGCACCAGAGCAAGCGACGCGGGGAAACGTAAACAGCGCTTTTATTCCATTCGACGCAGCCACGAGGAGCCCGTCTGGGCCGTGCCGGGCACCCCGCCGTGACAGGAGCTGCCCAGCCGCCTCTCCCAGCCGTGGCCGTCCCGTGCGAGGCCCGCTCTCTCCTCCGTAGCAGGCCCTGCCAGCCCCAGGGCTGTGCCCGTACTCCAGCCCCGCTCCGTTCCGGTCCGGGCCGCTCTCCTGCAGCCGCTCGTTCAGCCCGGCTGCATCGAGTGCCTCCGTCCTTCGTGTGGCCCCCGGCCCACGCTCTGCCCGAGCTCAGCCCCGCTGCAGACGCTCAGGTACCGGCAGGCTGAAGCGGGGAGCCCGCCACCCCCCCGGAGCCGCCTCCCGCCGCCCCCTTGCCGGCCTCAGCCTCCAGCAGCCGGAGCAGCAGCCCCTCGGCCCGGCCGCGGAGGTGCCGGCAGGAGGGCGGGGAGCCGCCCCGCAGCGCGCCCAGCAGGCCGGGCAGCTCCTGGGGCAGGCGGTAGGTGGGCAGGGGCCGCAGGGGCCGCGGCACGTCGCGGGGGCTGCAGAGCCGGCTGAAGTACACCAGCACCCAGCCCCGGCCTCGCCCCGCTGCCCCCAGCTCGCCCTGCAAGCACGCCATGGCTGCCCCGAAGACATCGTGTGCGTCGCGGGGCTCCCCACCGCCTTCACCCCCTCGCCATAAACGGAAGAGCCGAGAGCTGCCCCGGCTCCAGAGCAGCAGGACGGTGCCCCGCTCGCGGCCCACGTGGCTGCGCTGAGCATAGAGCCAGGGCAGGGCCCCCGCCTGCCCCACACCGCCCGCTTCCCACAGGTCCAGGCGCACCTCGCAGCCCAGCCCCACGCGCAGCAGCTCGGCCAGGGCGCACACCAGTGCCAGGTGCTCCTCCGAATCAGGAGAGTACAGCAGCAGCACCGGGCGGCCACGTGCTGCCTCACCTGCAGGACAGAGGGGACAGCAGTGACAGCCCTGCTCTGAGCAACCTCAGTGGAACTGCAGCGTCCCACCGCCCTGGGACCTTCCCCATGCCTGGAGCGTCCCAGCCCTCGGGGTGCCCCAGCCCTTGCCCAAAACGCTGCCTCTCACCGTTAGGCATCCTCCAGGTGCTGCAGCAGTTCAGGAGCAGCACGGTCACCACCAGCCCCAGGGCCAGCGCCAGCCCTAGCAGCCCGAAGTGCCTGTGTGAGACTGGGAGAGGTGCAGTGAGCGGGCAGCCATGACACACTGCCCGATCCCCACCAGCCCTGGGGCTCCGCTCACCATCAGGACAGAGCAGCTGCTTGCGGGCGAAGCGCACATCTGAGCGCCAGACCTGGGTAGGGAGATGGATGAGGGGGGCAGGATTTGGGGTTTGGCCCTCCACCCTGATGCGGGCAGCACAGCGGGGCTGGGGGTCACCTTACCAACACGCAGCTGCCCAGGATCTGCACCGGCAGCAGCAGCGCCAGCTCCCCTGGAGCAGAGCTCTCTGGCTGCAAAACACGAGGCAGGGTCAGCGTGGCAAAGCTTGCCTCCCTGAGCTCCCCTGTCCTACATCACTCACCCGCGTGACGGTGTAGACGGGAGCCTCAGGCTCACAGCGCCCGCCCCGGCGCTGGCACAGCGCTGCACTGAAGGACGCGGGGACACGGGAGGTGAGGCACAGGCGGAGCTGCAGTCCCCTGGCACTCAGGGACACGTTCCAAGCAGTGTCTGGTAAAGAGAGAACACACACTGTAGCATGATGGGGTGCCTGAGGGGGAAGAGACAACATCCCAAACCCATGGGCTCACCTGTGCGGTGGGGGCACTCCACGTGGCTGCTGTTCCCATAGGAGAACTGAGGAGGGGACATGGGGTCACCTGTGCACCCTGTCTGGCACCTTCCCAGCCGGTACCGCCCCGGGGGCTTACCCTGAAGCAGAGCAGGGGGTGCACATCCACACTGTCCAGTGTGTACGCCTGGCAAGGGACAGTGAGAGTGTCACCATCTGTCCCCAGGGATGCACTGCACCCTTGGACATCCTGGGGTCCAGTGGGTGCCCTGCAGCCATGTCCCCTCACCTGATCCTCCTCACTTGCCGTGGAGTTGGGGACACTGTGGCACGGTGCAGCTTCAGCTGCCGCCTCCCTCCAGCACAGGGTGGCCCGGGGATGCAGGGGACAGCTGGCACTCAGCACCATGGCCATCTGGTCCTTGCTGCTGTAGTCATGGAAGTGCACTGAGGACCATAGGTCAGGGCCATCTGTGGGGATAAGATCAGTAGGGTGGCCAGCAGACAGTGTGCCCTCCCCAGCGTCCCTTCAGGCACTCACAGGCATCCGGCCGCTCACGGAAGGGGCAGCGCTTGCTGCGCAGGCTGTCACGGTGTGGATAGGAGGCCTGGGGAGCAGAGCACAGCACCATGTGTCTGCCACCCGCGTCCCATTGCTGTGCGGATCAGCGCGCACAGGGGTGCAATGGGGATCACACCTCAACACAAAGGCAGGGCACCAGGAATTCATACGGCAGTGAGACGTGGTGGCCGCCTGGCACCAGGAGCTGCAGGCACAGAGGGAATGTGAGGATGCTGGGAGTGCAGGGACCCCCGGGGACCGCATCCTGCTGGCTGCTACCTGGCGGTGGAAGGGCTGTGGCAGTTCCTCACACTCCAAGGCCAGCTGATGGCACAGCCGCACCACCAGTGCAGGGCCCTCGGGCACAGCCACCTCAATGGCCCGCACTTCAGGGAGCCAGGTGTGGGTGAAGACGGGCCCTGGGAGCACAGGAAGGGTCAGTCAGTGCCAACCCTTACAAGTACCCCATTCCCTTCCAGCCTTACCCTGCAGCTCAATGGCAACCACGTGGCTGCGGCTGATGGCCAGGCCTCTGTCAGGGATGGTATGCAGGGTCACCAGGACCCGCCGCCCACTTTCTGCCGGGAAGCAGTCGAACTGAACCTGCCACTATGGGGAGCAGGGGGTGAGCGCGGCCCCACCGCCCATCCCCATCCCTGCGCCGTGCCCCGCACTTACCGGCACATCGCCTGGTGCCTGGTGCCGCTGCCACACCTGCAGCCACCCAACCCGGTTAGAGCCCAGCTCCAGGAAGTCAAGCTGCAGCCCGTGGATTCCTGCAGGATGCCAACGGTTGCTGCTGACACGGGTGGGACGATCCCGCGGCCGGGGTGACCCCTGCCAGGGTTCCCCCAGCGGACAAGGGGGGCCCATCCCTGAGAACAGCCCGTACCTGCGGCCGGGACGGCCAGACGCACCCGCAGGCAGGGCTGGCAGGGCAGCGAGGGCTGGCACAGCCGCGCCGTGCTCAGCGCCAGGGCGGGCGGGGTCAGCGGGGGCCCGGTGGGGTCTCCCCGGCGGCAACGGGGCCGGGTCAGCGTGCTGTCGGCTGCCGGGAGAGGAGAGGAGCCGTGCACGGGGCCATGCCTTGCACCGGGAGAGTCCTCGCGAAGGGGATCCCCGCGCACCGGAATGGCCCGGCGAGGGAGATCCCCACACACAGAGATCCCTTACGAGGGGGAACCCCGCGCACCGGGAACCGCCCCGCATCGCTCTGCTCCAAGTCCGGCTCCGATCTCGGCCCCACCGGAGAGCCCCCACCCTGGCCCGCCCCGCCGCCGCCGCCCCGCACACCGGGAGCACAGCCCCGCGGCCCCACTCACCGTTGGCCCGGCAGTCCTGCAAGCAAAGAGACGGGGATGAGCGCGGCCCCGTCCGCCACCCCCACTCCCTGTTCCCTTTCCCCCGTTCCCATTGCCCCGGCGCTCACGAAGTTGGCGGAAACCCGCGGGCGGGGCACGGCAGGACGGGCGGGCGGCGGCAGCAGCAACAACGCGGCGGCGGCGAGGAGAGCGACGGAGCGCACCGGGCAGCCCATGGCCGAGTGCCGTAGCCGAGCTCCGTTCCCACCTCCGGTGTCGGCTCCCCGCCCCGGGCCGGCCCCGCCGCATTCCTCCGGCAACACGTGCGGCCCCGCCCGCGACCTGATTGCGGCGGCGCAGACACGAGTGGGAAAGCACGGGAGGGGCTTTATTTCCGTACGGTGACACGCGATCGCAGTCCCAGCACCGGGCTCAGCCCCGAAGACCTCCGCACCCGCAGCAGCCGCCCTGCAGCACCACCAGCAGCCCCCAAACACTCCACGCGTGGCACACAGAGCCTCTACCCAACCTCCCTCATTTCTTCTTCTTCTCCTGCGTGCTGGTGAACCACGAGTCCAGCAGCTTCTTGCTGTAGTAGAGCTGCCAGCCATGCACCTGGGCGGCCACCACCACCACCAGGTACATGACGGAGACGGCAGAGAAGCCGAAGATGAAGCGGTACGCCTTGCCGTGCCGATAGAGCTGCTGAGCCATAGGGAACATCTCCATGGCCCCGTAGATGAGCGGCGCCACAGAGAAGAGCCCGGCACTGATCATGGACAGCACCAGGTAGCTGATGTTGTTGCGGGGGAAGGAGAGCAGGCCCAGCAGTGAGGGCAGGATGCTGAGCAGGTAGGGGTACTCCCACTGGTAGGGCATGGCCACACGATCGTGGGGCAGCAGCTTGAGGTGCCCCACACACATCTGTGCCAGCAGCAGCAGCCACAGCCCCACGTGCACGTAGGTCAGTTTCTTGATCTCTGACTTCAGGGCCACGCTGTGGGGACACAGCATGGTCACAGCACAGCTGGGACACGGCTCTGTCACAGCCTGGTGGGGGCACAGCCCCATCACGGCCCAGCATCGACACGGATTTGTCAAGGACGTGATGGGCACGTGGCCCGGAGGTGCATCACCCTGTCACGGCCCCGATGAGGGCACAGCCCCGCAGTTTGGGGAGCAGAGGCTCCGTGACACCCACCTCATCTGGTAGTGCGAAGCCACGCGCTCCCGGTGCCGGTAGTCGCTGCCATCAGTGCCGGCAGCACGGGGCCCACCACGAGACGCCATAGCTGCCTGCAGGGACACAGAGTGAGGGGACCCCAGGGAGGACCCCATGGCCTCCATCCCACCTTCCCGTGACCACCCACCCACGACAGCCGCAGGGACACCGCAGGGCGCGGTACCCCCCGGCCTGCCACGGCCCCCAGGCCCGCCCTCCGCACCTCGCCGCGGGCACCGCGCCCCGCCGCACCCCACCTGCTCACCGGGCTGAGACGCTCTACCCGCACTTCCGGTTCTCTGTGACCACCGCTTCAAGCCCAAACGGCCTCAGGAGGGCGGCCGGTCTATACGCCCGGAGGCCCGGCTCTATGGTCAAAGCGGGACGCTACGCCCTGCGGTCCGCCCGCCGCGCAGGCGCAGTGCGGCCATGGCGGGTTGCGGAGGTGCCGCGCGCGTGGCGGCGCGCGTGGGGCAGGGGGCGCGCGCGGCGAGGTGAGCTGGGGGGGTAGGGCGAGCGTGGAGTGCTGCTGTGTGTGCACTGCTGTGTGTGCACGGGGCTGCGGAGGTGACACGGTGTGACACGAGTGGGTCCGCTGATGTAGGTGCACGGGAGTCATGGGCTGCTTGGGAACAGGTTCGAAGGCATGGGGGACACGTGGAGTTTCACACGCGTGGGGACATGGAGCGTGAGAGGAGGCGGGGGAGTCTCACGCGTGCCCCATCTCATTCTCCCCGCAGGAAGGGGCGACCACTGGGCCCTGAGGCCGTGCTGGGGCTACTGGAGGCCTCAGTTGTATATCGGGAAGGTAAGGGAGGAGAGGGAGGCTGGACACGGGTGGGTGTCGGGTGATCAAGAGTGGGGTCTGACCCTTCTGCCATCCCACAGGAGCCCTGCTGGCTCTAAGCAAGCCCACTGATCTGCCTGTGCTGGGTGAGTGCTGGGGGGGCTGATTTCTCCAAGAGGAGGCACATCTGGTGCTGACCCCCATACCTCCAGGGCGCCCTGGGGAGCTGAGCCTGACCGCGCTGCTGCCTGCACTACGCCGACGCCTGGGGCTGCCTGCAGAGCTGCATGTGGTGAAAGCACCTGCCAGGTATTGGGATGGGTCTGGGATTTGGAATGGGGAGGTCCCAGGGGGGCTCATTGATACCGTGTCCAATAGAGAATGCTCCGGCCTTGTGCTGCTGTCCACCTGCCACCGTGTCACTGAGCAGCTGCAGCACTCCTTCACTGCTGCCCGACGCAGGGGGCAGTTCCCAGCCACCTACAGGTGAGTGCCTCCCCATGAATCCCCCTCTCCAAAAGTATGAGGCTCTTCCCTCTTATTGTGTCCCTTCAGCGCTGTCACTGTGGGGGTCCCAGCAGAGGCAGAGGGTGAGATCCGTGTGGGGCTGTGCTGGCAGCAGAAAGGGGACACAGCTGTGGTAAGGGGCACATGGGGGAATCTGGGAGGAGTGGGGGGTAGAGGGTGGTGCTGAAGCTGTGCATCCCCCCCCAGGTGGTGGCAGTGCCATCTCCAGGACACCGCAGCATGACCCGCAAAGAGGTGAAGAGCACCCTGACCCGCTACCGCCTGCTGGGAGCAGCAGGGGGCTGCGCTTTGCTCCAGCTGCAGCCTCGTACAGGTGAGTGCCCCCCCTACACTGCCCCGGTACCACCACCCCACAGTGCCACCCACCCCACGTCCTTCCCTCCCTGCAGCTTTCCCCGAGCAGCTCCAGGTGCACCTGACGCTGCTGCTGTGCCCGGCCCTGGGTGACCACAAGTACGCATCCCGTGTGGGAACAGTGCTGGGGGAGCCTTTCCTGCTGCCCCCCCAGGAGACCCCCACACCCCGCACACAGGTAAGCAGCGCAATGGAGGGGAACTGCTGCCCTATGCTGCGCTTTCCTAAAAAAAATCATCCCCCACAGGTGCTGGATGCAGAGCTGATGTCCCGGCTGCAGCTGTCCCCACACCACCGCCTGCCCCTGCACCTCCATCTGCAGCAGCTGGTGCTGCCCCACACAGTGCTGAGTGCTCCCCCTCCTCCCGACTTCCTGTGCACCCTACGCCTGCTGGGGCTGCCCTCCCTGCCTCTCCCTCCCCATTAAATCTCAGCATGACAACAAACAACATTTATCTATCCCATTTGCGCTCCCCCCATCTTTCCTGTGTAATCTCCCCGGGGGTTGAGTCAGCACTGGTAACCACAGCCTTCTCCTTCCCCGCGACCCAGTTCCCATCTGGAGCGGATGTTGGGGGAGTCTCTGGTGGCCCCAGCTCCTGCCCACAGCTCTGTCATTTCAGGCGGGGGGGGGGGGGCTGACAACATGTCCCTCCCAAAGCTTTCCCAGTGTGAAGGCTCACAGCTCACTCCCACTCACAGATTTATTTCTGCCAAAAGGGGTGGGGGCATACTGGGCCATCACCACTCCTCTTTGCTCCCCTCTGAGCCCTCCGTCCCTCCTCTGCGCCATGGGGCCGAGTGCTCCGCAGCAGGGGCAGGGGGCTGAGGTGGGGGAGAGCTCCCTGGTGGGGTGTGATGGGCACACGGGAATGGATCCTCAGCCCTCTGAGTCGGGGCAGACCCCCTGGGGGCTGCCTTGGCCGCATCTCCGCAGCATACGGGGGGGCCCTGTCCTCTGCTGCAGCCAGGGAGCAGCGAGGGCGGCGTGGTCTGCGCAGGGAGCTGCCTTCCACCTCCAGCTTCAGCCCCACGTAGTGCACGGTGGGCACAGCTGCCTGTAGGGGGGGGGATGTGGGGAGCACAGGGCTGTGTCGTCCTCCCCACAACCCCCTACCCCCCCTCAGCTCCCCGCCCCACCTGCTTGTAGATGAGCTCAAAGGCTCCTGTGGGGCACTCGGGGTCATCCCGGCGGTCGATGACAACTCTCAGTGTGTCACGCTGCACCCCGGCACACAGCCGGCTCGTCACCGCCGTGCTGGCCTCCATGGTGGGGCTGGCGTTGATCTCCAGCAGCCAGGGTCGGAAATCCTCACCGAAAATGAAATCAGCCCCATAGAGCTCAAAGCTGCCCTTACGGCCCCGCACCAAACCCTGCGAGCACCGCACCGCCCGCACCACCGCCGCCTTCATACCCGGCACCATCACCTCGGCCCAGGCACCGGCTTGGCCCCGCTGTGCCAGGTATGCCTGCAGCTGGCGGCACGACCACGTGTTGTCTGCTGGCAGCTGCGGGTGTCGGGACAGCCCCGGGCGGCAGTGCCGCTGCACTGCTTGGTTGCAGAGGTGGACGGCCCTGAGGGGGGAGAGAAAGCAGCCTTCAGTTGGGTATTAGGAAAAATTTTGTGGCAGAATGAACAGTGAGGCAATGGTACCAGCTGCCCAGGGGGCGGTGGCTCGTCATCCTTGGAGGTGATCAAGGATTGCTTATGTGTGGCACCGAGGGACGTGGCTATGGGCACGGCGGTGGGCTGGGGTGGGAATTGACGTCTGTGAGAGAGCGGGGGGAGGGAGGGACATACAGAGCACGGAACTGTACTCACACATCCAAGCAGTGCAGGGAGAATGGCTGTGAGCAGAAGCGCAGGTAGCACTCGCGGTAGAACCAGATGGTCAGCGGGTTCCAGTCGGTCACCAGGAACCACTGCCGCACATCGAACTTGGTGCCGAAGATGAGCAGCGGCCGCTCCACGTATTTCTGCACCACCCAGCGGCCCTCCCGCCCCGTGCTGCCCGCCAGCCGCAGCAACTGGTCCAGCCGCGCCACGCACACGATGCCTGCGGATGTGGCAGCACATAGGGACCCCGTGGCGCGTGAGGACCCCCGGACCACCCCTGCTCCTACCTCTGCCCCGGGATGCAGCCCCGGGTTTGAGGATCCAGACGTTGCGCTCGCCCTCCATGTGCAGTTGGGGCAGCTGCTTCGCCAGGCCCTGTAGCAGGCTGTGGCCCCGTTCCTGCTGTGCCGTGCTCAGCTGCAGCACGGCCCCCTCGCTGAGATATGGGGTGGCTCAGCCACTGTCTTTCCACCCTTCCCCACCCCTCTGCCGGCACTCACTGCACCACGCGGTAGTAGCCCTGCAGGAAGCTGTCCCAGCTGGGGCTGTGGGGCTGTGTGTCCCCGTCAATGTCCTGGTGGGCCATGCTGTCCAGGTGCCTCCTGCACACCCGCAGCGCCTCCTCCATCAGCTGTGGGGGCAATGGCAGGGCCGGCCCCTCTGCTAGGGGGGTAGCACAGAGTGAGGGATGGAGCACTGCGCCATGCCTGGGGTGGGGGGCTTGACACCTCACCTGGAGCATCACTGGGTTTTGGGGATGGCTCCAGCACTATATGCTCACCCTCAGCCCTTCCCAGGGCCACTTTGAGCAGGCAGCGTGCAGCAGTGAGGCGGAAATCCTCTGCAGTAAGAGAAGAGGCATTGCCCAGCCCAAAGCCACGCTAGGGATGTAGGAACTGTGAGCCCATCCCACATTGGCCCCAAGCTCACCAATGAAAGCCTGGCGCTCGTCCGCAGCACCCAGCCGGTAGCAGCGAGGGAAGAAGGTATCGGGGTCGGCTTGGTCGAACCAGGGCAGGTTGCGCAGGGTGAGGCACAGCCCCTCCTGTGTGGAGAAGGATGGCAGCCCCGGCGTGCACCCTGTGCCCCCCCAGGGAAGGTCCCCGTGCCCCCACCTTGGTGGTAAGGCAGCCCCCTCGGGCATAGTGGTTCACCACCTGGTCCGGCCGCAGGATGCATCTCTCTGCAGCACTGCAGCGGCTGCTCCAGATGAAGTAGGGCACCTGGTCCTGCACCAGGCGGGACTGGGGGGGCAAGGGCCTGAGTGAGGTGGGACCCCACCCCACATCGTCACCCCTACCCCACTGAGGGATCCCCCTGCATCATGTTGGGGTCTGCAGCCTTCCTTGCTACCATGAGCTCATGGATGCCATCAGGGTTGTCCTTGTCCGTCTGCTCTTCCTTCTTCTCCTCCTCTTCCTCCTCCTCCTCGTTGGGCAGCCACATGGAGCACGGGGACTCCAGAGGTGGCTGCACCCCACGCTGTTCTGTGCTGAGCTCGGCATTGCCGCCATCTGCCTTTTGCTGCTGCACCCTGCAGGGTGCTTTTCTCTCCACCCAGCCCCGTGCGCGCAGCAGGCGGCGGATCACAGGGTAGCGGCCCTGCACCATGAAGATCTTCTTCTCCTGGGTGGGGAGATGCCGTGGCTAAGCTGCCCACCCCGGGGAGCTCAGCCTTTGTGCCAGTTGAAAATGGGTGACGCCCTGGAGAAGGAGCAGGCCCTCACCTTGATAGCCCTCTCCACCTGCAGCTTGGCCAGCTTCAGCTGCTTGGGGCAGAGCCAGGGGCGGCTGCAGTCTGCAAGAGTCCAGAGGCCCGTGGGACAGCCTCAGATGAGCTCCTTTCAGACAGCATATACCCTCATGTTCCCTTGTTTCTGAAGCAGGCACCCACCTGCCCGCACTCTCTGCACCTTGCCAGGTGCCCCTGCCGCAGCATTTGCCACCTTTTCAATCTTCATGCCAGCACCACAGCCTCGCAGCGTTCCCCCCAGGAACTCCCCTCACCAGGCTGCGTGTGCCCACGGTCCTGCTCTTGAGTGGGTGAGTATGGGGCAACCTGGGGGTGAGGGAGGCTGCTAGCAGCTCTGCCTCTCTCCATGCAGCGCAGGGGATCCTCCTGCACTGTGTCCTCACCCAACGGGGATGCAGGGGGCTTCCAGCAGCCCTAAGCCCTACATCCTCTCCTGTGGTCCCACACCAGCTACTCCCCCATCACCTGAACCTGTGCCACCCCCAATCGCTTCCCTCAGGCCGCTCTGTGCTCCATCCTGCCCAGCACCCACCCGGCCCACACCCACTCCTTCCAGCACCGGCGGGGCTGCCCCCACTGTTTACTGTTGCCGTGGTGCCGCTCCGGGCCCCGCCCCCTTCTGCCCTAGATCCCCGCCCCCCGGCATTCCCTCCCCTTTCCTCCCCCAGCAATACAGCAGGGAGCCGGGGCGTACAGCAAGTAACTCTTTATAAAACACAATGCGACAGGACAGGGAGCGGGGCCGCCTGGCCCCGCGTGCGCACAAGCCCAGTCCGCCCCCGCCCCGGCCAGCGAGGAGACGGGTTTGCAGCCAGGGGCCCAGCTTTCCTTCTCCAGAGCAGGAGAGCCCCGGCATGCGGCTCTGCACAGGCACCGGGAAGCCACGGAGTCACGGCACGGCCTAGAACTGCAAGGCAAGACAGAGGGCAGGTGCCCATCAGCACTGGAACGTCCCACGCTACATCTCCTGGCTCTGCCCACCCTCAGCCCACTTGAAGGATCTCAACACCAGTGGAAAATGCTTACAGGCACTCCCCCACATGTCCCAGGATGGGTACAAACTGCACCAAAGCGCTGCCACCCCCCAACCATGTGGGGGAGGCTTCTTTCTCTGAGGGCCTTGCTCCACTGCTAAGAGAAGGAACATTCACAGAGCCTTACGTTCTTGAGGAATTCCTCTGCCACGATGCGGGCCCTGGCATTGACAGAGAGCTTCATCTCACTGATCTCCTTGTCGATCTCTTCCATGAAGTGGATCACGAAATCCACAAGCTTGTGCTTGTACATCTGCTCCGTGTGGAAGTTAGTGATTAGGAAGCTGATGTCGTAGCCCTGAGGAAGAGAGGAGCAGTATGACAGCTATGAGAGCACAGCACAGTGACAGCGCAGCCCAGATCTGCAGTGCAGGCCCAAGGAAGCAGAGCTGGGAGCTGCTCTGCTGCCACCCCCTCACCTCCACGGGCTTCCTGCGAAGGATGAAGAAGTTCTCAGCCCTCATCATCATGAAGCGCATGAATTTGTGGCACAGGATCTTCTCGATCTCATCGGCCTGCAGAGAGGAAAGGGAAATTAGGCTTCCCCACAGGAGCGCAAGCCAGCCCACCACCCCTCCCCAGCCACTTCGGCCCCACACCTGTTTGACAGCGATGCTGACACGCACGGAGTTGATGGAGCCCTCAATGAGCACCTTCTCCTTCTCATTCCTGCTAATGATCACTGGCTGCAACAGGAGCTCCTTGCTGCTCCTGTGGGAGCAAAAAAAAGGCACAACTGATCAGCAGGGAAGCACTCACGGCTCAGTGCTCGCTGGCATGAGCACTGCAAGGATCCCGGAGATGCAGAGCGTTTCCTTCACTCCCACATCAGGATCCCCCTCCTGCTCTGCAGCTCCCCCAGCACCCGGCAGGCAGCAGTGGCTGCAGTGCACGGGGTGAAGGATGGGGACTGCAGGGCAGCTCCGGGGCAGGGAGCTGGGGCAGGGAACACTCCTCCACCACTGGGTCTGTGGATGCGGCTGGGGGGGGGGGGGCTGGCAGGAACCCTACCTGACCTCCACCTCGGGTTTGTTGTGGCGCTCCACTACCTGCGAGGAGAAGTTCTCCAGGCACAGGGCGGCCTGCAGCGTGGCACGCACCGCGTTCAGGTACGGGCGCAGCGTGGCGGTCTGTGGGGCACAGCACAGTGTCAGCGCCTGGGCCCATCCCCATATCCACCCCCATCCCTACTTCTACCCCCACCCCTACCCCTATCCCCGTAACCATCCCCACTCCCTATCCCCATCCCCACTCCCTATCCCCATCCCAAACCCCATCCCTACCCCCATGCCCATCCCCACTCCCGCCCAGCTCCTTCTCTCCCAGCCCAGCCCAGCCCTGCCCGCTTCCCTCAGCCCCATTCCCAGCCCATTCCCGCCCGCGCCCCACCATGGTGACGGCTCCGGTCCGGTCCGGGAAAGCGGAACCGGAAGTGGCCGGTCCTCTCTTCCGGGATGCGCGGGAATCCCCAACCCGGCAGGTGGGAGGAAGCGGGAGGTTCCCGCTCCGCTCCCCGCTCCCGCTCGGCCGCCTCAAGGCCCCTCCGCGCCGCACCGAACGCTCTGGGCGCTACGCGGCGCACGGCAGTGCATCCCGTCTAGGAGCGCGGAGGCGGCGCCTCGCGGCGGCAGCGTAGTCCCACGAGGCCCCCCCCGTGATCTCGCCGGTCTTGGTGCGCTCCTGTCAGCGCTTCCATATTAGGAAAGGAAGAAGGAGAGCCGGCCGAGCCAATGGGCGGCGTGCGCCGGGCGGGGCTGAGCCAATGGGGAGCGCGGGGCGGGGCGAAGCGGCGCGCGGCCTGCGGGGGCCGGAAGTTGGCGAGCGGCCGTATGTGGAGCTCGGCCCCCCCCGGCGCCGCGCCCCGGGCCTGCCCCCCGCCGGGCCCCGCCCGCCCCCCGCCGCGCCGTACGGCCCGCCGAGCCCTCCGGCCCGCCCCCTGAGCCCCCGGGCCCCGCTCCCTTCGCTCTCCGGTTTCCCCCCGGTGCCGCCATGAGCGAGCTGAAGGACTGCCCGTTGCAGTTCCACGACTTCAAGTCGGTGGACCACGTGAAGGTGTGCCCGCGGTACACGGCCGTGCTGGCCCGCTCCGAGGACGATGGCATCGGCATCGAGGAGCTGGACACGCTGCAGCTGGAGCTGGAGACGCTGCTCTCCTCCGCCAGCCGCCGCCTCCGTGTCCTGGAGGCCGAGACACAGGTGTGTTGCCCGTGTCCGCGACCCCCACGTCCCTGTCACCGTCCTGCACACGTGCCCCGACACACTGTTGCTCTTTTCCAGATCCTGACGGACTGGCAGGACAAGAAGGGCGACCGGCGTTTCCTGAAGCTGAGCAAGGACCACGATGTGGGCACCTCTGTCAAGCACGGCAAGCCCAAGAAGCAGAAGCTGGAGGGCAAAGGGGGCCACGGGACGGGGCCTGGGCCTGGTAGACCTAAGTCCAAAAACCTGCAGCCCAAGATCCAGGAGTATGAGTTCCAGGATGATCCCATTGATGTGCCACGGATTCCTAAAAACGATGCTCCGAACAGGTGCATGGGGAGTTGGGGGGCATTGGGATTGGCTGTTTCCTTCCTTGCAGTGCGGGAGGGCATGAGCTGCTCCCATAGTGTCCCCCGCATCCCCCCTCACCATTATTCCCCTGCTCTGGCCTCGCAGGTTCTGGGCGTCAGTGGAGCCGTACTGCGCCGATCTCACCAACGAGGAGGTCAGGGTCCTGGAGGAGCTGCTCAAGCCACCAGAGGATGAGGCTGAGCACTACAAGGTGACAAACTGCATAGCCCCCGACCCATGCTCCCTCACCCCATACCCTACCTTGCACTGTCCACCCCTCAGCTCTTGGGCAAGCTGAGTGGTCACACCTCTCTGTGAACATTGCACATGGCCTCTGGGGTGGTGCAACTAAGTGCAACCCCAGTCCCGTGCTGAGCCCCTGGCCCATCCTGTGCTGCAGATCCCACCACTGGGGAAGCACTACTCACAGCGCTGGGCTCAGGAGGACCTGCTAGAGGAGCAGAAGGATGGTGCCCGGGCAGCAGCTGCAGCTGACAAAAAGAAGGGTGTTCTGGGGCCACTGACTGAGCTGGACACCAAAGGTGTTGTCCCATTCCCTAGCAGTAATGGACTGCACTGAAGCTGTGGGGTGAGCTCAGGGGGCTGGCATCCAGTTCCCACAGAACCAGGGCTACTCACAACTTTCTCCCTCCCGCATCCCCCCAGATGTCGATGCCTTGCTGAAGAAATCAGAGGCCCAGCATGAGCAGCCTGAGGATGGGTGTCCCTTTGGGCCCCTGACACAGCGTCTCCTGCAGGCCCTGGTGGAGGTGAGGGGGCCAGGTCTGTGCAATGGCCCTGTGAGGCAATGTCACTGCATCAGGGCGAGGTGAACCTTTCCCACATGCTCTGCTTGCCAGGAAAACATCATCTCCCCTGTGGAGGATTCGCCCATTCCTGAGATTGCTGGCAAGGACTCAGGAGCCGACGGTGCTGGCACTTCTCCCCGCAGCCAGAACAAGCCCTTCAGGTGAGCTGCTGTGGTGCCACGAAGCTCGGTGCTGCCCAAATTGGCGCTTCCTCTGCCCAAATTGGGGCAGAACGTGGGCGCTTCAGAAAGCATCCACTCCGCCCCTCTCAGCGTGCCCCACACCAAGTCGCTGGAGGGGCGGATCAAGGAGGAGCTGGTGGCTCAGGGCCTGCTGGAGTCAGAGGACCGTCCCGCCGAGGACTCAGAGGATGAGGTCCTGGCCGAGTTGCGTAAGAGGCAGGCAGAGCTGAAGGCACTCAGCGCCCACAACCGCGCCAAGAAGCACGAGCTGCTGCGGTGAGTGTGGGCAGGGCACGGGGCCAGGTGCAGTGCCGGCGGCATGAAATTGATGTCCTCTGTCCCCAGGTTGGCCAAGGAGGAGCTGCACCGGCAAGAGCTGCGGCAGCGTGTCCGCATGGCCGACAACGAGGTGATGGACGCCTTCCGCAAGATCATGGCTGCCCGGCAGAAGAAGCGCACTCCCACCAAGAAGGAGAAGGATCAGGCGTGGAAGACGCTGAAGGAGCGGGAGAGCATCCTCAAGCTGCTGGATGGGTAGCAGGGTGCTCAGGACAGGGCTGCACGTTGCTGCCGTCCCCTTATTTCACAGACTGGAGTGGAGGCACCGTGAGGAGGAGGAGGTGCCCCTGTCCCCCGCAGGTTCCTGGCACGCCTGTGCTCTGCCTGGGATCGCTGCGGGTTGGGGACAGCGGGTGCACGGTCCTGTGCTGTGACCCAGCGCTGCGACGTTTCACTGGGAGGCTGAGTCCTGCTCCTGGCCCAAGGGCACAGCTCCTGCCCACTGCCACCAAACCGCAGCTGGAGCACGGGGACCCGGTGACAGCATTCCTGGGAATAGCCGCCCTCTGGTTTCCGCTCCCGCGGTTATTCTGGGCACCGGACCTCTGCCAGGCCTGGGCTGGGAGCTGTCCCGTGCCTCGCTGGCTCTGGGGACAGCCAGGGACACCGGTGTCGGGGGAGGAGTGGGGCGGGAGGGGGCAGGGCGGGCTCGGGATGTAGCCGCGGGTTCTGTGGCTGAGAGGGCAATAAAGGAGAATTGGCACTGGCGGCGTGCTGTGGAGTCGTGCGCTGCTGGGGGCTGCGGGGACGCAGGGGAGGGGGGCATCCTACCCCCGTGTGCGGCCGTCCCCTCTGCGGGATGTCGCCGCTCCGCCACGCGCTGTGCGCCTTCCCCGCGGGCTGCCCCTCGCGCGCCCCCGTCGTTCACTGCCCCTCCGCGGCCCGCGGTCACGCGTGGGCACTCGCCGCCCGCGCCCCCCATTGGCTGAGCGGCGGGCAGGTCCCGCCCCCCGCCGTGACGTCAGCGCTGTCCGGCGGTGCCGCGCCAGGAGGAGTCGCCGCTGCTCCGCGCGGGGCCGGGGCCGCCGCAACCGTCGGTAAGAGCGGGCGGGGCGCGGCGGGGCGGGGCCCACGCGGGGGTAACGGCCGCGCCCACTCGCGGTCGTAGGGTGCGCGACCCCGCGGCTCGGTGCCATGTGCGGGGCTCCCCGCTGCCAGAGCTGCGCGGGCCGTGCCCGTGGCGGGGCTGTGTCACGCGTGGGGTGGGCACGGGGGGGCTGCGGCGGCCCGGTATCCCCGCAGCACGGCGTCCCCGCGTCCCCGCCACCCGTCCCCTCCGTCAGCCGGGGCCACATCCCGACAGCCCCATCCCGTCTCCTCGCCGTCCCCCGCCCGTGGCCCCACGGATGCGGCATTCCGCTGCCGCGCTGACGCCCCGTCCCTGTCCCCCCCAAGGCGCAGCCCGCGGCCGCAGGACCACCATGCCGCTGGGACACCCCGCGCCCGGCTGGAAGAAGAGGACCGAGGACATTCGCCGCATCTACGACTTCCGAGAGGTCCTGGGCACGTGAGTGGCAGGTGGCACCGGGCACGGGACGGGCGGCACCGGCTGCGGGATGGCTGCCATCCCCGTGGCATCTTCTGGCCAACGGCGCTGCGTGGAACTGGGCCAGCTCAAATATTGGTCCAGGGCGGGGGCCCTGCGGGGCAGCACGCACACAGATAGGCCGGGGACGTCGGGACTCGCGGGGGATCGGGCACACGCGGGGCGCGGGGACGCGCAGGGACGTGGCACTGCCCGCGCCGCGTTGGCCGCAGTGGTCCCGGTGGGACCCGGTGGCACCGCGTGGCGGGGCCCGGTGCTGCTGAAGCGCCGTAAGGCTCTTAGGGCGGATTACCGGGTTAATTACAGCAGGGCTTAGGACCGGGCTGTCCTCCACCTGCCCCACCTGGGCGCTGCCGCCCCACAGAGCCACGTGTCCCTGGGGTGAACCGCGTGCCCCCCAGCAGTGGCACTGCCTGTGTCCCACGGCTCCGCTGTCCCCTCCCGCTCACCATTCCCCTATAAATAGCCCAACTTTCCGCTTGTCACCATAGCAATAGTGGCATAGCAGTGCCCCCCCGGTTCACAATGCTCCCCCTCTTCCAGGGGGGCTTTCTCTGAGGTGGTGCTGGCAGAGGAGAGGGCAACCCAGAAGCTGGTGGCCATCAAGTGCATCGCCAAGAAGGCGCTGGAGGGGAAGGAGGCTGGCATTGAGAATGAGATTGCCGTCCTGCACAAGTAGGGGGGCTGCTCTGGGATGGGGGCAGGGGGGTCCTGTGATGCTCCCACCCTAGCGTGGCCCCACTGCCAGCACCCAGCACCGGGTGTTATCAGCATGGCCCTAAATAGCCCGGCACATGGTGCTGCTGCTCTCTGCCCTGCTGCCAGCTGGGGGGGCTGATCCCGGCCCTTCTCACCCCACCATGCAGGATCAAGCACCCCAACATTGTGGCCTTGGATGACATCTACGAGAGCAGCAGCCACCTCTACCTCATCATGCAGCTGTGAGTGACACGTTGGGGGGGCTGCTGGATAGGGGCCGCCCCTGTGAGGAAGGGCTGATAGTGTTGTGTGGCCCTTGAAGGGTGTCGGGAGGGGAACTCTTTGACCGCATCGTAGAGAAGGGTTTCTACACCGAGCGCGATGCCAGCACGCTGATCCGGCAGATCCTGGATGCTGTGCGCTACCTGCACGACATGGGCATCGTGCACCGCGACCTGAAGGTGAGCAGCGCGGGGAAGGGGGGGGGGCACGGAGATCAAAACTGGGGGTTCTCTGACATCAGCCCTCCTGCAGCCCGAGAACCTGCTGTACTACAGCCTGGAGGAGGACTCCAAGATCATGATCAGCGACTTTGGGCTCTCCAAGATCGAGGGCTGTGGCAGTGTTATGTCCACCGCCTGTGGGACACCCGGCTACGTGGGTGAGCCTGGGGGGCCTGTTGGCCTGTGGGCAGTTCTCCCCGTGGTACAGCACTAGGTCCCCCTCACTGTGCTGTCCCTCCAGCCCCTGAGGTACTGGCACAGAAGCCCTACAGCAAGGCAGTGGATTGCTGGTCCATCGGGGTCATCGCCTACATCCTGTAAGTATTCCCCTTCTACACGCTGTGGCTGCACAGGGGACACTGTGAGTGACCTCCACGCTGTCCTCCACACCTACCAGGCTCTGTGGGTACCCCCCCTTCTATGATGAGAACGATGCCAAGCTTTTTGAGCAGATACTGCGGGCTGAGTACGAGTTCGACTCACCCTACTGGGACGACATCTCGGAGTCAGGTGAACCCCGGGGGTCAGCTGTTTTGGGGGAGGGTCCTCACACGGTAGGGGCTCACAGCTGCCCTCTTCTCTCAGCCAAAGACTTCATCAGACATCTGATGGAAAAGGACCCTGACAAGCGCTTCACGTGCGAGCAGGCTCTACAGCACCCCTGGTAAGGGATGGGGGCACTCCTCCTGGGAGGCAAATAAATGGGAAAGGGTTGCCCCCCTAAATTGATTCCTTCATTCTAGGATTGCTGGGGACACAGCCCTGGACAAGAACATCCACCAGTCAGTGAGCGAGCAGATCAAGAAGAACTTTGCTAAGAGCAAGTGGAAGGTGAGCACAGGGCTTTGGGTGGGCCACGGCAGTGCTGGGGGCAGCGCAGTGACAAGGCAGTGTGCCTGCCAGCAAGCCTTCAATGCCACGGCTGTGGTGCGACACATGCGGAAGCTGCAGCTGGGAACGAGCCAGGAGGGTCCCGGGCAGATGACACCGAGCAGCCCCTGCCATGGCCAGTGGTTGGGGGGGGGCTCCAACAGCGGTGAGCCCTGATCCCCGCTCTGTGCCATTCTGCACCCTCATGGGTCCAGGGGTGCTGCCAGGCTCTCACCCCACATTCCTCCCTACAAAGCAGGGTTGGACTGTGAGCGGGTGCCAGCAAACAGAACCCCCTGCCTGCCCCCTGACTGAGGGGGTCTTGAGATCCCCTGGGCACAACACAGGGTATGGGGTGGGTCCATGGGGGTCCTGCTGCCTCCCCATCTGCTCCCTTTGGGGGGGGGGAGCGGTAGTAAGGGAGGGCAACCTGCCCCGCTTCTCACCATCTCCTGGAGTGAGCCCCATGGCTGTGGAGTCTGTGTGGGAAGCCCCCAGGAGCCCCCCCATACCAGCCAATGGGGGCTGCAGCCCAGCTCCCTCCTCCCTCCTTCCTACATCTGCCCCCCAGCATGTTCAAAGAGAATTTTCCAAATGGACATTTCTATTTTATTCCTTGTAATAAAGGAAATAAACAGTGTCTGGCTTGGCTCGTCCCCCAGGGGCCAGCACGCAGTGGGCAGGAGACAGACAAACTCTGCTCTCAGATCCCCCTGTGCCCCCTTCCCTAGGAGCACCCAGCCCCATGGCTTGCCTGGCTGCGGCCCCTCCTGGCCCGGCTTCGACTGTCCCGGTCCTTGCGGAGGTCAGCGCAGAAGAGGACCTGTGGGGGGGAATGAGAGGTGCTGGGTGAGCACAACTGGGAGGGACAACCAGGTGTGTGTGGGGGGGAGATTGGTACTCACCGCCTGCGCCCAGCCCGCATAGGGGCCCCACAGTTCACGGAAAAAGTCACCTGTGTAGAGATCAGAGCCAGCAATGGGGGCTCAGCCCTTGCACCACCAAGCTGTGGGTGTCAGCTCGTGCCCTCACCGATCTCCTGGTGCACACGGGCAGTCAGGGAGCGGGCACCCAGCGCTGCCCCGTAGCGCTGCCGGGCAATGTTCCACACATGGGTGTCTACTGGCACTGCCTCTGCCTTGTCCAGGGCCATCAGGCACACACAGTCAGCCACCTGCCACATGATGCACAATCAGCCCTGCCATCACCCTGTCCCCATCCCCATGCCATCACCCACCTTTGCCCCCACTCCCGGCAGGGCACACAGCACCCTCCTGGCCTCAGCATAGGGCACAGCCCGCAGCTGGCACAGCCCCTCGGCACCCATTCCCTCAGCGATGGCGCGTGCTGTGCCGCTGACAAAGCGGGCCCGATAGCCAAAGCCCAGCGTCCGCAACTTGGCCTCCGCTTCAGGGCCTGTGGGAGGACAGCCATGGAATGGGGACGTGGGGACAGATGTGGGGACAAAAGGATGGCTGCCAACCTGCCAGCGCTGCCAGGGAGGGGAAGGCGTGGAAAGGCTTCTCATTCAGCGAGCAGAGCTGTTGGCCAAAGGCCTGGCAGAGGCGCTCGATCATGGTGGTGATGCGGGCCACATGGTTGTTGGAGGTGCAGATGAAGGACAGTAGGCATTCCACAGGGTCCTGCCGCAACACCCGCACCCCTGCGGCACCACGGGTCAGTGGGGCCCAGCAGGTGGGTGCTGCCATCACCCCATGGGGCTGCCCCACCTGGGAAGGCAGTGGCTGTCTGGCAGAAGAGGGGGTCGGCTGCCCCCCAGGTGCGGTACAGGGCTGCCAGCCCCACGTCCAGCTGGAAGTAATCCCTCAGGATCCGGTCAGTTTCGGGGCCAGGCGTCTCCTTGCCATACACCGTGTACCACAGGCGGTCCCGCTCCTGGCGCAGCGTCCACACGCGGTCACCCAGCACTCCTGTCCATGCACCAGGGCTGCTCTCCCGCCACCTGCCATGCACCGGGCATCAGGCTACTCCAAATGGCCTCATACGGCCCCGCCGTCTGACAGGAAGGCCCTGCTGTCTCACCGGAAGGCCTGCCCTGACGCCAGCACCAGATCCAGGCGCAGCTCAGCTGAAGGGCAGCGCAGCCACCGCCACAGGGCTGGGCAGGCCGAGGGGGCATCCCGCAGTGCCATGGGGCTGCGGCCCCGCAGAGGCAATAGGCTCAGGCTGCACTCTCACACCATGACACCCACCTGCACCCACGGCACGCTCAGCTCAGGTGAGGACTCCTGCGGGTGCCCACTTGTCCCACAATGCTCCGCAGCACCCTGCTCTGCACCCCCAGCCCCATCCATCGCCGCCCCCATCGCACACCCCACGTACCCCCCCATATCCTCTCCCCCCTCCCATCCCCACGCCGCCCCAAAGCCCGCTCCCCGCCCCGTCCAGTACCCCCAGCTACCGCCGCCACCATAGAGCTCCCCCCACCCAGGCACGCAGAGCGCCGCTTCCCGCTCTTTTGCCGCCGCTCTGGCCCACTTCCGGCCTCTCGCTGGCCCAACCCCGGAAGTACCCTCGTCCCTCCCTCCGCCCGACTCCCGTTACTGCGGTGGCGGGGAGGGAGGCTGCGTACGAACCAATAGATTTTTTTTTTTTCCTCCAAAATAAATACAAACACGTCCGAGCGCGGGGCCGCCGCCCCCGTTCCGTTCCCGGGGCCGCCCCCCCCCCCTCCCGGGGGGAATAATTTAAAGGGCAGGGCTGTACAGTATTTACAGCTCTGGGGGCACCGGGAAGGCGGGGGGAGCCCCCCCCAGGCCGCAGGCCAGCTGCAGCGGGCCCGGTGCCGCGGTGCGTCAGTCGCTCTCGCTGGAGTCGCTGCTCTGCTCGCCCTGCACCTTGTTGCGGTGCTGCATGGCGCGGTGGTAGGCGATCTGCACCGACTTGCGGATGTTGGACTTGCGGCCCTCCAGCATCTTCTCCTTGTCCAGGTCCTGGTTGACGCCCAGCGGCACCAGCTTGGTGCGGGGCAGCCACTGCCTGCGGGGAGCGGGGAGCCACCTCGTTTGAGGGTTACGGGCGGCTGCGCGCTCCCCCCAGCGGCACCGCCGGTTTCCCAGCTCCTCCCCGACCCCCCCAGGCCTCACCAAGTGCGCTTGTTGTCAAAGAAGAGGACGAGGTAGAGGTGCTCGCGCGCTTCCTGAGTCATCTGCTCGCCCAGCTTCAGCACCTCCAGCGGCGGCACAGGGATGGGGACGCCGTGGTGGAACATGCCCTCTCGCGGCATCTTGGGGTCGATGATCTGCCGGGGAGGAGGGGCCGATGCTGAGGCAGGGGACAAAACCACAACCCGGCCACAGCCCCGTTCCTCCAGTACCAGGAACTGTGAGCCTGCCTCTCACCCCGCTGACGGCACCAAGACCATCCCTGGCACTGGGATGGGATTCTGGGAGATGCACATAGGTGGCCAAACTCACCAGTGCCGGGTAGGAGGGGTAGCCCCGGCACTTGGCCCACACCAGATCCAAAGCGTCCAGGGAAGAATCCTCATCCTCAGAAAGCCACCCTGCACCACGGCCAATGCCCTTCCGCACCACTGCATCAAGACAAGGGGGAGAGAGGACTCAGACATGGCCCTTGCGGCTGATAGAACAGGCAGGTGTGTGGCTGGAAGGTTGTGACACTTACTGCTGTGCCCCACGCCTCGCCCGGCACCCACAGAGTAGGATTCGTTCTCTGTTCCTGATGTGTCCTCACTGCTGTCCTCAGGGAAGTTCACGCGGGAGAAGGAGGGCTTCCCCCTGCCCTGCTTTGAGGGTGTTGTGCTGAGAGAGGGAGCAGAGCTGTGAGCAGCAGTCACACTTCCAGAAACTGCTTTCTGAGTGTCATCTGTAAGCTTTCTGAGCCCACCCAGCACCAGGTACTCAGCAGGCATACAAAAGGCCGACCAGATGGTGTTTCTGCCCGGAACCCTTAGCCCTGCCTCACCTGCGAGTGTACGCTCACCCAAGCATGCTACAGAGCACAAAAAAGAACAAATCCTACAGCCAGGCCTGCAGCCCTCTAGCACTGGGTTAGCAGCACCAACAGGAGTTAGGCCAACAGGAGAGTGAAAGGGAGAGGCACAGTAACACACCTCACCCAGCAGATGCCCGTAGCAGTGGCACAACCAGAGGCAGGTGGTACGTACCTGGTACGGTCTGAGGCAGCACTGCTGCTGCTGCTGCTGCTGGACTCGGAATCGGAGCTGCTGCGTGGAAGGTTACAGTCATTGCGGTACACCAGGAAGCTCTTCTTCACTGGCTGGTTCCCACTGCTAAAGCCATTGGCCGGCAGGTCTGCAGATAACAAACAACAGAGGAGCATTAGGAGGGCACGGTGCCCTTGCTGTGCTTCCTGCAGGGCTGTGGCTGCCGCACTCACCCATGGGAGCGTCTTCGGTGGATTTGTCGCTGTCGCTATCGGAGCTGGAGCTGGGCCGTGGGCTTCGCCCCCGCTTCCTCTGCCGCTGGGAGGACCCCATAATGGGGAGCTGCGGGGGGCCTATGGGACTGTTCCCATGCCCAGGAGCTATCTGGCTGTCTCGATTCTTGGGGGGACGTCCTGGACGTTTCGGAGGTCCTGCAGTTTTAGGGTTCTTCTTGGAGAAGAGCACTGAGGTCCTCCTGCCCACTTCGTGTGCTGGAGTGGAAGAAGAATTGGGACCCAGACCTGGAGGAGGGATGAAAAGGCATCAGCCACAGCCTGCAGGACCTGTCAGGGAAGGGATGGCAGTGGCAGAAAGGAACAGTTTCATCTCTCAGAGCTCCACTGCAACCTCGAAAACCAATGATCCTAAATGCTCTCTGCTTGCATGAGAGCCTGCTTTTTCAGGTCTTAGGGGAACAGGGTGCCAAGGTGACAAACCTCAGTGACACCTGCCAGCTCTGCCTAGGGACTCTGCAAGGTGGCAACTGAGCTGTGCTTTCTGAGGAGCATGGCTCAGCACCTGCTCCCATCAGCTCCCAGCACCAGGCAGCTTGCATCTGGCACGTACTTCGCTCCCAGCCCCTGCAGGGCATTTGGAGCGTGGCCATCCCTGCTGCAAGTAAGCAGTCAGCCCAGGGAAAGTGAGCAGCAAGGAAAGTGGTGGGAGATGAGGGAATCCTCCAGACAGACCACCTGCCTTGATCCTAAGGAGTTGCTATGGGTGAGGTTTGTGTGCATGGTCCCCCTGCCTTAGCTCTACTATACAGCTGTCCAGGTGTGGTTCTCTGCCATTCCCCAGCAAACAGCAGCATTTTGGAGCAGTACCTTTGCCGGTCTCCTGGCTGCTGCTCTCCTCAGCAGCACTGTCTGTCTGAAGGTCCTTCTCGCAGGGGTTGTGCGACTGCAGGACCCCCCTGGCAGAGGAGCTGTGCCGCTCCAGCCCATCTCGGCCCAGGTCCCGGGGGTGTGCCAGCTTCCGCCGCAGGACTGTGATCTCCTTCTTGATCATCTTGGCCCGGCGGGATCGTCCTATGCTCTGCTTGCCAGCATTGACCTCGTCCAGCCGCTCCAGCAAGATCTTCAGCTGCTCCTCCAAGGGCAGGTGCTTCTGATTTTCCGAGAGCAGCAGTCGCATGTCTTCTGAGGGCACAAAGAGGATGAAAGGAATCAGAAACTTTTTGGAGACCCTTTACACAGAAGGGCATGGGACTTCCCCTCAGGAGGAAAATAACTTACACAGTACCAAACACCCATGAGCACAGAATGTTACCAAAAGACAGTCTGAGAAAGAGCCCTGTGGAAAGCAAGCTAGTTGGGACTGCTGGGGAAGGCAGGCTGATCTGCAGCACAGGGAATGCTAAGGATTCCCATCAGCTGAGGCAAGATACAGCAATAAAAAAGAAAGGGGTTAGTAACAGGAAGGATACAGCAGACATACATGAGCTGACCCTGAAGCATCCAAGTGTAGGGAAGTTCTACTGCCTGAACCCTTCTACTGCACCTTCAGCCCTTCACATGCTCAAACAGGGAGAGCAGGACCCCAAAAGGACCCTTCTCAGGCAAGTTACTCCTGGTGGCAAGTTACTCCTACTGCCCAGCAGGAGACAGCAAGAACAGCCTTAAGTTGCCCAACTGTTGGGACTTAAGCTCCGAGCAGCTCTCCTACACGAGGACAGGGGACAAACACCCACCATCCTCGATGTCCTGGACCTGAGCCTCTTCTACAGTCACGCAGTGTGGGAAATGCATGCCTGTCTCAAAGTCAATGCCCATCTTCTCCGCCTGCCGGCGAGCCTGCCGCAGAACCACGCCTCCCTGCTCCCGCAGACGGACGGCTGCCCGGTAGAAGATAGTGTCTTTGGCATTGTACTTCAAACAGTTGTTGATAATCAGGTTGAAATCTTCCTCAAAGTCATCAAAATTCAGGTAACGGTACGCTTCCAGGTTTTGCTTCATTGTCTGAAAATCCATCGGCTTCTTGATGTGATCCAGGTAGTCTGGGACCTGTATTGAGAAAAGAGCCCGTGCTAAAGAGCTTGGAGACCCCCGTTAGTACCACCTGCTCCAAGAAAACAGTTGTTAGAGGAATCAGGTATTGCTCCCCCATGCCCTGTCCAAACACACATCTGGAAAGCTGCCTGCCTTTGCAGCTAGAGGAGCTGTGGAATGCCTCTGGACTAGAGTCCATGTGCTGTACTCAATCTATTAGAGCCGACACATGCTTTGAAACGTTTTTTGTGCAGCTTCTCAGGGGTGAGGGTAAGTACACACACATAGAACAGACTGCTCTGGGTGGGAGCGATGGCTGTGGGTGGGACCACACAGCCAGGACACCTCCAAGCCCACCTGCTGCCAGAGCTGCACAGCACTAGCACTCCCTCTCCCATCTCCCCAGGCAGGGAATCACCACTGATGTTCTCAGAAATCACCTCCTTTGCCCACAGAAGTGACATTTCTGTGCTGTGCTCAGCCTGTTACCAAGCAAAGGGTTTTGCAGGAGGACATGTAAGAGCATGCCACCTGCCTAAGGATGAGTGCAGGCATTCTGCCTTTCCCAGGCAGAAGCCCCTAACCTGTCACAGACAGTGGGAAATCACCAGTAACACAAGCAGAGGAGCTGAGTGCTGCGCTCCTGGCCACCAGCAGCTGCCAGCACCACCCCTTTTGCTGTGCATTTGGCTCTCCCAGGACAGGCAGTGCTGCACACATCCCCGTTGAGTGTGTGGTGTTGGGACTGGGAACCATCAGCAGGCTGCCCAGAGGGCTTCTGGAGCAGAAACCCCCATGGGCAGCCCTTAGCGTGAGCAAGGGACAAGTGTGAGTGAAGTAGAAATCTGGGGGAGGGGGTTCTTACTTCGTAGATTTCTGTTACCTCAGACAGAGGGACCGGCTCACTGAAGATGTTGCCCGTGTCTTTCTCCTGCAGGTGCTCGAGCGTCTTGCGGAGGAGGATGAGGAAGGGGGTCAGCTGCATTTCCAGTGCCACCTGCTGCACTTTGATCTGAAACAGAAGAACGGAGCGCAACTGAGCATCCTGCCCTAGAGACGGCCTCCAGGAGCAGCTTAGCAGACCCACAGGACAGTGCCACCTCTCCCTGCTGCAGTGGGGCCATTCCTCAATAGGGGCTGCACGGGGCACGCGCTGCACCTCAACATCACCTCTAGAGAGCAGAGGTGAGGCACAGGCCCCAGCACCCGTGTTTCCCACATCAGCCTTGCACAGCAGCCACCTTCATGCAGAGCTGCCGGGGCAGGGCACAGCGCAACCGAGGGGACCCTGTGCCCACCGTGCAGCTCAGAGGGCAACTGACCAGCACTCAGGAGAGCCCGTGCTCACACCCACCCCAGCAGCTCCCCAAGGAGGGGCAAACAATCGTTACCGTCTCTCTCTTGAGCTTCTCCCGCTTGCGTATCAGCTCCACCAGCAAGCGCGCGCGCTCTAGGTCATGGCGGAGGCGCTGCCATGATTTCAGCTGCTCCTTCAGGGCCCAGTTCTTATCCTCAGTGTCTCTCTGCAGGAACATCAGAGACTGTGAGCTGACAGAAGTGTTCCCATCTCCTCCTTCCTGACTGCGTGTGAGGGCTCTTCCCTGGTACAGGGAACCAGCGCGCCTGACCCGCTGCCTCAGTAAGCATCCCAGCTCCCCTGTCGTGTGGGTGACACAGAGACAGCCCAAATGCTGCCTACAGCTCAGTACCTGCTCCATGGTCACCCAGCCCCGAGGATGCGAGAAAGCAAACTCTGGAAATACTCTGCCTGACATGACCACAAGCAGGAAGCTGCCCGGGACCACAGAGCAGCAATAACAGGGTCCAGGCAGCTGCCCAGAGCTCTAGTGAAGGGCAACAGGGCAAAATGGGAAGACAGCTCTGGTTACTTTCACTTTTGGAGAATCAAAAACCATGCTGACTTTTATTCTGCTACTGTAGCCAAAGATGAGCAGAAGTAGTTTCAAATCTTCTCCAGCAAATAAAAATGAGAGGAGGCAAAAGCGGGAGAAACCGCTGCCTGATCACAGTCTTCAAAGGGCTCAGAAAGGCTTATACAGGGAATCAGAGGAAAGATCTTCCTCTGGCACGAGAAACCTCACATCTGTGAAGCACTGACTGAAGGCTGAGGCAAACAGCAGGCTGAGAGCACCACCCACAGGGAACGTTCCCACAACTATTTCAGAATCTGTGAGGCCTTGGTTTCTTCCATGTCTGGGGATCCCTAGCCACCCCTCTCAATGCCCGCTGACACAAGTGGCCTCAGGTTAGAGCCACTTCTGCCAGCTCTGTCACAGCTGCTGGCCCCATGTCAGCAAGAGGAATGAGCTAACTCCTGCACACAACGGGGCAGGCTTCCCTTCCCATGGCAGGCTGCCAAAGGCGGATCCGTCTGGCAAATCTCTGAATGCTGAGAGTGGAGGAGAAGGTAAAGCAGCAAAAGCAGGCAGTTGGGGCTGCCCTTTCCTCATCAGGAGGTGGAGCTCTTTTCTCCAGCCCCCTTCTGAGCCCACAGGCACCACCACATGCAGCAAACGCTTTGAGCCTACAGCTGCAAAGGCGCAGGAAGCACACGCAGACACCCAGGATGCCCCTCAGCACCCCAAAAAGCAGCATGTACCTGATCACAGTTCCTCTGGGACTGCAGGTGTGTCTGAAGGCGGCGCAGCAGAGGGACACCGTTGCGGGATTGCCTCTTCAGAGTCCAGTAGCTGTGCAGCCTCTGCATGAACTGACTCTTCCTCTGGATAGTTAGACGATTGGTAATCTTGCTGAGCCTGAAGAAGGGAGAGGAACCACAAACCCAATCAGCAAAGCAAACCTGGCCATAGTAGAAGCCCCAGTGTAGCAGCGAGGCCACCCATGAGCTCCTCAGACTGAGCACACACATTTGTTTAGCAGAAATCCCTGAAAGGCCAAGGAACGAGGCAGCACACCACCGACAGTTACACTGAAAAACTTCCAGCCTTGTCTCTCTGAAAGGCCTTTTCCTTTCTTTCCTTTCCTCTTGACTGTTCCAGGTTGGGGTGCAAGGCAGGGGCATTGGCAGCTGGGCCTTTCACAGCTCCCTGTGGCCCCGAGACCACGGCACGGCTGTCCCAAAGCTGTGATTCACCCGGCTTATTATGCTGGCAATGAGGGGCCACCCAAGACGACAAAGGCCCTATTCAAACATTACCAGACAGCTCGGCAGCCCCGAGCAGTTTGTAGCATGAACAAATCTGGGAAAGCGTGAGGAGGGGTGGGCAGACGCTAGCAGAACAGAGCTTGCTGTCAGAGCTAAGGAAGGACTACCCTGAACAGCCCCAAACAAAACAAAAGGGGTTTTCCTCCTCTTTACAATGGCAAAGCCTGAAGCAACTGAGACAGCCTCTTACACCAGTGCAGTTAAGAGATGCCCTGCTAGGTGGGACTGAAGCGTGGACCCCATATCTCCATGTCCTGCAGGGCCAGCTCTTCACACAGGGTGATCTGACCTGCATCAGCCTCAGCTGAAGGCAGACAGCATCATCATCTGCTGTCATTGGCTGCGCACAGCTTCTACAGGAAGACATTTGGCATTCTGGCAACAGCCCTTGAAGAATAATTAATCCCAACAGGAAGGCCTGGGGTGAGGTTAACAGCTTCTATCTCAGAGTGGGTTTCACTGTGAGCCCGAGGGTAGCAGAAAAAGCCTACAAACAGCTTGCCAGTGCATCCACACGTGGGAACAGAGAGGCTCGGGTTATGGAACGCACCCTGAGCGAGCGAGCCGTACCATATGGTTAGCACACCAACACCATGGCGCAAAGCCATCAATCCTGCAGCACAGACCTGCCCACACAAGTGCCCCAAACTGCCCACAGAGCAAACCCCAGTGCCTGCATACCCCCTCCCACTCCACAGGAGCCCTGAAGGAGCCCTGCCAGGAGGCAGTGGCCCCGTGCTGTGACAGCTGCGACTCTGGGACCTGAGGGCCAGTGAGTGCAGCTCCAGCGTGGTGTCCCAGCTGCAATGAGGAGCACCCGGCTGGTGACTCATGGCCACGAAGGCAAATGCTGCCCTGCCCGGCTCCAGCTGTGCACCACAGGCACACCGCAAGGCTGGGAAGCAGCGGGGCTGTGTGGGGCCAGCTGTGGCAAAAGGAAGGTGGCCTCTGCTTTCTTCCTGCAGCCTGCTCCAACACACAGGAGAAGAGCTCTGGGAGCCCCCAGCTGCTTCCTGCCACCTCTGGCCAAGCTCGGTTGCTGTCATGAAGCCAGCGGCATCTATTTCCTGTACAGGCAACTCGTGGGGCTGCACATTTCACTCCTCTCTGCGGGAAAGCCAGAGGAAACCACAAACAGCCCTGGGGAAGAGCAACGTGAAAAGCATTTGTGCAAAAAGATAACGCCTGCATACAAAGCGAGACACGAGACAGTGAGAAAGGGAGAGGCTTCTCCACAGCAAGGGGAAGGCAACGAGTTGTACCTGTGAGGGGGGATGCAGGGAACAGAAACCACAGGCGCTGCAGCTCGTTTTTCTGCCAGGATCTTCCGCGCCTTCTTCATTTTGATTCTAGACTTGGCCTTTGCCTTTTTCACCTTCTCGGAGCTCCAGCTCTTTCCTTCCTCCTCCTCCTCCTCATCCTCCTCTTCCCCCTCGCTGTGGGAAAGCGCGGGAAGCCTGCGCACAGAGCCTGGAGGTGTGTGGATGTCACAGTAGGCGGTTTTGCGCACGCTGAACGAGGTCCCGTTTGCTCCTGTCTCACGGACGGGCTCCATCTTCATGTAGAGTCCAGCCTGCTGGGCACAGGTGACATGGAAAGCGGTGTAACAGTTTGCCTTGTGACACTGGATGCAAGCCCCAGAGCCACGCTGCTTGCAAATATAGCAGGTCAGCTTCCACCGCGCGGGTGGGATGTGCTCGATGCTGTCTATGGGCTCCAGGAAGACCGTGTTGGCAAAGCACACCTCCGGGATCCAGAGGGCACAGACCACGTGTGCCCAGCGCCCATCGTCCGTCTGCTTGAACGCGCCGCCCTTGTTGGGGCACAGGGCGCAGTCCACGGCTCGCGAGGGTGACTGCAGGCACCTCCTGCAGAGCCACTGTCCCTCGGGGATGTAGGGCACCCCGTAGCACTCCTGGTGCACGGCCAGGTTGCACATATCACAGAAAAGGATGACGTTGCTGTTCTGGCATTCCCCGTCATTGCAGATGCAGCACACGGCATCCTCGTCAACCAAGGCGTTGGGGTCCCCCTTGTTGTGGCTCTCAAAATACGACTCCTTCTCCAGCCTGTCCATCAGGTACTCAAAGATCTCCTGGGGAATGGGACTGACGCCCTCAGTCTTCCGCCGCTCGTTCATGATATCCAGCCAGATGTAATCTTCCTCGTCCATGTCGTACTCCACCTCCTCATCCAGCTCCTCCGCTGACTTCTCAATGTACCTGGAAGGAGAAGGCACGGGAGGGTCAGAGTGCTGCATATTACAGCCAAAAGAAACCCCAACAAACAGGAAAGAAGCAGTCGCGCTCAGAAGCTGGAGGTGCTGCTGCACTGCTCGGGGTACCAGTACAACACAGCTGGGTGTTCACACAAAATAACAAGTTGCAGACATTGGAGACTTGTCAACACAAGACAGGAACTTGCACAAGCCAGCAAGTGGGCACCTGGTGCTCTGGAGGCAGCAACCTTGTTCCCCAGACACACGAGCATTGGCCCTGCTGCAAATGGAGTGCAGACAGTGCCATGTTTTGGTAATTCTACCTGCTGCCACCTGTGGGTGAGGCAAGCTGAACTGTGGGGAAAAGCCAGAAGCCCCTGCACCCTGCTCCATCTGTCCTGCTCCATCCATAAATGACCAGCAGTCACAGTGCAGCACCACATCAAGCACTATGCAGAGACCTTATGGGAGCTCTCTTCTGCAGCGTGATGCAAGCCCACATTATTCCTCTGTGCCTGCAGCTTGGTGCCAGCCTCTCAGGCAGCATGGTGGCTAAGAGGGCAGAGGTGGCTGTGAGAGCATCGCTTCAATGCTCAGTACTGGCTCTGCTTATTTTGCCCAGTTAATAAACCACGTATGGAAAACCAATAGGGCCACAAGAACACATTAAGCCTGGAAACACACACAGCTTACAGCTAAACTTTGGTGCTGGAGGGCTCCTGACTTATCCTAGAGCATCTCCAAAGTGCAGTGGGGAAGGCAGAAGAACTCTCTCCGTCTTCCATGGAATGGTTGGCTTGGGAGGGCCCTTAAAGCCCACCCAGCTCAATCCCTGTCGCGGCCTGGCTGCCACACAGCAGCCTGGCCATGGGCACCTCTGTGGACAGGGCACCCACAGCTCTGGGTGGCTCGGTGCCCTCTGAGTAGGGAGTTTTCCCCCAGCATCTAACCAAATAGTTTAAACCCATTCCTCCTCACCCTACCACTAGAAGACCGCAAGAAGTCGCTCCCAACGTTTGCCACGAGCTCCCCTTCAGCCCTTATAACCACACCGACACCAGACCGCAGGCAAGCCCCCAGGCGGCACCCAAAAGCCGCGTGGCCACGAGGCCCCATCCCGCGGGGCGGCACCGGGCTGCCGAGAACACTCCGCTACCTGTAGTAGGAGGTGGGGCGCGGCGGCGCGTCGGGCGTGTCCTGCTCCAGCTCCCGGTACACCACCTCGGGCAGCTTGGGGGCCGCGCCGGCCGAGGCGTTGTGGTGGTGGTGGTGGTTGGAGTCCTTGCGCTTCTCCTTGCTCTTCTGCTTGGCCGACTTGGGCGCGGCGGCGGCGGCGGCGGCCGCTTGGCTCTCCCCGTTCTCCTTGCTGCCGCCGTTCTCCGGCGCCTCCTCGGCGGCCTCCTCGTCCTCCGACACCACGTCCAGGTTGTCGAAGATGCTGATGCGGTGCACGCGGCCGTGCAGGTCCACCTCCACCATGCGCTGGGCCTGCGCGTAGGTCATCACCTCGCGGCCCGGAGATTGCGACGCCTCCGAGGGGTTCGGGGACTGCTTGTCGGCGGCGCCGGCGCGGCCCTGGCGGCCCTTCTTCTTGTGCTTGCGGAGCGGCGGCTGCTGCGGCGGCGGCGGGTTGTCGTGGTCATAGTGGTACAGGTGGTACTCGATGCCGCTGTAGCTCTTGTAGATCTTACGGCAGCTGCCCACCGGGCACTCGTAGGGCGGCTTGGTGGCCCGCAGGTTGTGGCAAAACGTCTTCACGTCGAAGTCGACCCCCATGGCGCGGCCTCGGCCTCGTGCGGGCGGCGCTGGGGCGCCGAGGCCCGGCCCTGCTGCCGCCTCCCGCCGCGCTCAGCGGCCCCGCGCCCGCGCCATGGCCCGGCCCGCAACAATGGAGGAGCGCGGGGCGCCGCTGGGTAAAGCGCGCGGCGGCCTTAGCAACCGCACTTTCGCCACCGCGCCGGCGGAGCGGGCGGGACGGGCCGTGGGCGGGCGGAGAGGGGTGGGCGGAGCGGCGGAGAGCGGAGCGAGGAGATCGGAGCGAGGAGAACGGAGCGCGCTTCCCGAAGAGGAGGGGACGCGGTGCCGCGCGGCGAGCGGCGAATCTGCCGACGCGAATCTCAAGGACGAGGACCCGCGCCGCAGCGGCCCGGTGCGGTTGGAGCGTTTTATTGCGGTCGGTGACGGCGGCGCAGCCCCGCGCACGGCGCTCCGCGACCGGACCCGGCGGTGACGCGGCCGCGCCGCTTCCGTCACTGCGCGGCGTTGCGGCGGGGCTCGATGCCGCGGCCCCGCATGTAGGACAGCAGCTGCTCGGGGATCTCGGCCAGCACGTCCTTGGCCAGGCGCGCCATGCTCCGCACCTGGCTGCCCGCCTCGTCCACGTAGTCCCGGAACGGCACGAACTGGGGGCAGCGGGGGGCCCGGCCCCGAGCTCTGCCCCACGGCCACGGCCGCACGGCGGCCCCGAGCGGAAGCACAGGGCCTGGTGCTGCCCCGCGCCCAGCCCCGCAGCCTCACCTGCACGATGTCCCTCTCGGCGTAGCGTCCCCGCGACGACACGCGCACCTCGTCCCCGTCCAGCTCCTCCATGGCTGGGGGGCACCGCTCAGACCCTGCATGCGGGCACCCCCCGGGCCCCTCCCTGTCCCCGGCCCATCCCGCTCACCCTCGAACTCAGCTGGCCCCACTCCCACGATGATGATGGACATGGGCAGCGCGGAGGCCTGCGGGGCGGAAGGGCAGCAGCCGTAGGCTCGGAGCGGCCCGGCAGCACTAAGGCTGTGACCGGTGCCTGGGCTGGTGGCGTATGGCCACTCACGGTAACGATGGCCTCCTTGGTCTGCATCATGTCGGAGATGACGCCGTCGGTGATGATGAGCAGGACGTGGTACTGAGAGCCGTCAGTCACCTGGGCAGCCGTGCTGTGGGGACACGGCGTGGGATCCCTCCAGCAGCCTCCCCACGTCATCCCCCACGGCGTGGCCATGGGACAGGGATGGCCCCACAGCACTCACCCGGCCACCTGGTTGATGACGGGGGCGAAGTTGGTGGGCCCGTAGAGCTGCACGGTGCGCAGGCTCTGCAGGTAGGACTCGAGCACGCCCTCGATGCCAGCACAGCTGGGGTTGTCCACGTTGTTGTTCTGGGGACAGGAAGGGTGCTCCCATGGTGCTGGGTAGGATGCGGCCAGGCTGGCTGCTCCCCAGCCCCATGGGCTGCCCCACACCTGGCAACAACAGGTTAACCCCAGCCTTGCACCAGGACGCACCAGGGGGAACTGGTGGGAGATCTTGCCATCGGGTGGCAGCTTGGCACCAAAGCCGTAGGCAGGGAAGAGCTTGTCACTGTCGTAGTCCTGGATGATCTCCCCGACGGCCTTGAGTGCCAAGGCGTAGGCGCTCAGCTGGTAGGGGCTGGCGTAGTGCAGCGACGTGGGCTGCGATGGCAGCCCTGCAGCACAGCACCCATCAGCACCACCCAGTGCCACTGCCCCGGTCCCTCCCACCACTGTGCTCACCGTTGGAGGCCGTGAAGTCAATGGCGACGGTGAAATTCAGCTGTGTCCTTAGAGGGAGAGCGAAGGAGGCTGCCAGCCCCAGGCATGGCGTGACCTCTGCCCACTCCCCCAGACCCACTGCCCACCCCGCAACTGCAGCCACCATCTCGGCACCCCCGGGCTGCAGTGTCACCATCACTGCCTTCCTGTCCCTGTCCCTCAGGAGCTTGGGGGCACCTGGCCCCACTCACCCGCCCCGTATGTAGTCAACGAAGGTGAACTCAGACTCGACGGAGAAGGAGAGCAGAGTCACCTGTGGGCATGGGGCATCAGAGCTGGCACCCTGCAATGGGTGCGAGCTGCAGGAGCACCCCAGTCCCACTCACAGTGCCAGAGTTGACATATTTCTTCTTCTTGCACTTCTTCCTAGGGTTCAGCACCTGCGGGCACCAGGCAGGTCCTGCTGCGGGGCTCCCCACGCCCCCAAAGCTGCCCCACTGTGGCCCCTGCCCTACCTCATACACTGTGAACTGGCTCTGTGCACGGGACAGCTCCCGGTAGCTGGTGGCAAACTCCCCGATGAAGTCGTGGCTGCAGGAGGAGCACAAGCTCTGAGTGTGTCGTGGGATGAGGAACACCCTGATGCCTCTCCCTTTGGGGCACAGCCTCACCTCCCATCCCGGTCCCAGTCGTACACATCAATCTTCACTGTGCTGGAAGTAAAATGGGGCTGAGGGGGAGCTGCTGGCATGGCCCACAGTGCCCAGGGCTCAGCGTGCCATCAGAGTGGCACCACATGCCCAGGGAGGGGAACGGGAAATTTGGGTCACAGTGGAGCTCTGGGGAGGGGGAAGCTTTTCTGTAATTTGGGTTGCAAAAGGAAAAGGAAAAAAAAAAAAAAGAACACCACTAAGAACCCAGGTTGGAGTTGCATGCTGGCTGTGGGGAAATGCTGTGTCCTGTCCTACTGCTGCCCCATTGCACACACCACAGCAGCGGCCCTGTGGTGCAGAACGGGTTCACAATATATGGGGCAGCTCTGGAGGAATGTGTCCAGGACACATTTTGGGGGATGTGAGATGTATCCAGGGCTGGACAAGGGGTTGCAGGATGGGGCCAAAGCATGGGGTGGGTCAAGGCTGCCCCACAGAACCATCCTCACCGGTCGTAGTCACCGTTGCAGAGGGCACGCACGGGTATGGTGAAGGGCTGCCACACTGGGTTAAGTGTGTTCTTCACCACCTCCGTCTTGTGGCAGATGGTGAAGCTGCGGGGACGGGGCAGGGTCAGGGCATGCTGTGCAGGGACACCTGCACCCCACATCCCCACGCTCACGTGCCGTCCTCGTTGCTGCGGTAGAAGACAAGGAAGGGGTCGGATTTCCCAAAGAAGTCCTTCTTGTCCAGCTTGTTGGCACACAGCTGCATGGTGACGATGTCCTGGGGATGGGGACTGTTACCACCAGCCTGCTCCTCTCCCCACGCTCGGGTAGCGTGCAGATGCAGCACTCACCCTGCAGTTGCTCAGCTCCTCGGCCAGCAGCAGGATGGTCCCACACCGCTTCCCTGGGACCCCCCTGTGACAACAGCCCAGCGTGGGGACAGTGGGGACAGCACAGGGGCAGGATGCGGGGCGCTCCACAAGGCCCGATGCTGCAGGTGTGTCCCCAGCCATGCACAGGGACACCAGGCAGCATGGCCACCAGGGTGTCCTGAAGCGGGGTGGGCGGCCAGGGGCACAGTGTGGGACCTCCAGCCCTGCCACAGGATGTGACTCACGTGAGGGCTCTTTCCAGACGGCCCCGCTGGGACCCGATCACCTCTCCCAATGCCACGAACGCCTGCCCCAGGAAGTCCTGCACCCAGGAACAGCATGCTCAATCCTTGGGGGCTGTTGTTTGCAGCCCCCTCACCTTCTCATCATCCCCAGCCTGCAGCCTTATTTCCCACAGGACCCCAGATGACCTGAGCTCACCCTGTGCCCTGTAAGAGCCCATGTCCATAGCCCACAACCCCTCCTGCACCCCCAAGGCCACCCTGTATCCCTGAGCTCATTCTGCAGCCCTACAGCCAACCTGTGTACCCACCCTGTGTCCTGGCCCCGTCCTGTATGCCCTGGGCCAGCCCACAACCCTGGACTCATCTTGTATCCCCCAGAATGTGTCCTGGTCACATTCCTCCAGAGGCACCCCGTGTATCCTGGAACCCTCCTGCACACCCACAGCAGGCACCAGTTCCCCAGCATGGCAGATGCCTACCTTCTGCCAGACCCAGTGTGGCATGGAGAGACAAAGAGCAGGGTGAGCCCCCTGAGGCCAGGGGTGCCCATCCTATCCAGAAGCACGGACAGGACTTGGCTTTGGGGTGTCTGGAGCAACTCACCTGCTTGTAGATGGAGCAGCTCTTAGAGTCCACGTTGTAGCTGGCAGTAGCAAAGCAGAGCTGTGAGCTGGCATCAGGGCACGTCCCCATGTCTTCACTCAGAGCTTTGGGACCCCTGCTCGCCCCGTTTCTGACCCCTCTGCCCATCCGCGCTGCAATGCTCTGTACTGTTGTGGTCTCCCACAGGTTACCCACGGGCTCGGCACCCCCAGCCTCGTGCTCCCCATTGCTGCCGAGGCACTCACACGTCAAAGCGAAGGTTTTGCTTCTCCTCAAAGTAGTAATCGAGGACAAACTTGCGGACGAAGTCGGGGTTCAGGGTGTTGTCGATCACCTCGGTGCGCCCGAACTGCGGGGATGGTTCCGTGAGGGCAACCCCATCATCCCCACATCCCTCCCCAGCGCAGCTGCCCCGGCACTAATCCCCGATTAGCGGCAGGGAGGGATCATTAGGGTGGAAGCGGGCGGCCATATGGGCCCATTTAACCGAGCCGGGGATTAGCCAGGAGCCGGGGCACTGGGGACGGCGGGGAATGGCGAGAGATGCAGCACTCACTTCTTTCCACTCGCTGCTCCCCGTGCCCTGCACGAAGAGGATGACCACTGTGGAGAGAGGGACAGAGCCGTGCCACGCTGCGCCGTGCCCGCACCCAGAAGTGCCACCGCTGCCACCCACCTGGGTCGGACTTGGAGAAGGTGTCCATGTCCAGCAGGTTCCTGGGGGGGACCGAGCTGCGAGTGAGCGATTGTGTGCGCCCAACCCGTCACGTGTCCCCCGTGCGTGGACTGTCGGGGGATGGCACCGCGCGGGAGAGCCGCACACAGCCGTGGGGCAGGCGGGCGGCCGGGCAGGGGCGGCACGGTGGGACGGAGAGGAGCAGCGTCTCCGGCGCTGACAGTGATTGAACGTGACAGAGAACCCATTTACAGCACGAAACCTTCCCCGGTGCCGCCGGCAGCGGCTAATGGAGAGCGCAGGAGCGAGGAGAAAGCGGACACTTAGCGGGGGGGCACCGCGCATCGCCCCGCGGCCGCCGCGGCGGTCGGACAGAGGGAAGCGCGTTGACAGCGGCTCCGCCGGGCTCGTCCCGCAGCGCGGGGCTCCGCTCCCCCGGCCCGAGTGCGGAGAGCAGCCCCTGGGCGCGGCTGAGCCCTGGAGGGGCTGCAAAGCAAGAGGCTCGGCCACGTCCCGCAGCGCGCCCCGGTCCCTGCCCAAAGGCGCGGGTACCCACGGCTCCGCAGCCCTTCCACCTGCTGTTCTGCGGGGCTGGGAGACGGCGAGGGGAGAACGCAGCCTCCGGCCCCACGCATGCCCCACAGCCGCAGGGCGGGAGTTTGGTGACAACCCCGCAGGACGGGTGATTCGCCCCCACCTGCCCGCCGGTCCGGGGGTCTCCGGGGCGATCCCTCGCAGGACTGCGCTCGGCCCCCTACGGCCGCCGCTCTGGGCCAGGGGCACCGAGCGGCACCGCCGGTGCGCTCCCGTCCCGCGGGCACCGAGCCGGCCTCGGAGCGGGGCAGTGCCGGCAACGGGCACGGGGGCGCCCGAAGTGGCAAGTGGGGGTTCCCGGAGCGGACAAGGGACTCCCCGCGCATCTCCCCACGCGTTCCGCATCCCCCCGCGCCCCGACTCACCGGCAGGACACGGTGAGCTCCACCTTGGTGCCCGGCACGCTGCCGGCCGCCGCTTCCAGCGCTCCCGGAGCCGCCATCCCCGCGCGGGCGCCGCCGCTGCTCCGCGCCGCCTCCTCCCGCACCGCCGAAGCGGGCGCGCCCGGGGGCGGGCACGGGCACGGCGGCCCCGGCGGCGGCACCGCCCCGGGAACGCTCAGACCAGGGTACCGGCGCGCGGGGCCGGGGGGATGCCGTCCGGCTCGGTTCCCGCCAGGCGGGCGGGCTGTGCCCCGCTGACCCCTCGATGCCGACTCCCGTCCCGTCGGGACTCCCGCCCGAAGGAGCTCTCGGCCCCGGCGCGCTGCTATTTCGGTGCCGCCGCTCCCGGAGCGTGGGCCGCGCTATTTATAGCGGGCGGCTCCCCCGCCGGAGCCGCTCCCGGCTCCTCCGCGCCGCCGCCCCCCGGCTCTTCCCAGCTCGCCCGCCTCCCGCAGCCCAGGCACCACGCAGCCCAGGGGTCGGCACACGGAGGTCTTTACTGCGGGGCCGCCTCGGAGCCCCCGCCGCTCCCCGGCCCCGAGCAGGGTAATCACAAGCGGGTGCTCGGTGCTGTGCCCGCGTGCCCCCGAGGACGGGGGTCCCGGCTCGGCCAGGGGTCCCCGGTTCTCCATCCATCCGTCCTGGAACGTGGCGGCTCTCAGAGCGTGCTGCTGCCTCTCAGTCCCACGCCCCGCACGAACTGCTCGAGGAGGCCGCCGATGGCCCCCGAGGGGCTGGGGGGCACGGCCTTCAGGCCGATGGTCCGGCTGTAGCTGGCCAGGAAGGCGGAACGCACTTCTTCCAGCCGGGACTCGCGGTCGCTCGCTGACACCAGCCTAGGAGACACAATCGGGAGGTCAGCGCTGCGGCTGTCCCACAGCCTTGTGGGGCTCGCAGGGAGGCAGCGCCAGCCCTGAAACGCCCCGGCTGTGGCACCAGCGCTGCTGCCTCCCTGCTCAGCCCCTGCAGCATCCCAGCAGCTTCCCCCGGCTCTCCTTCTCCACCGCCCCCTGGCTTCTCCCCCTACCCTAGATGCATAGATATCGCGGTCGTTGCTGGCTGACATCAGCCCCCGTGCCGCCTCTGCCCTTGTTTCCAGACGGAGCCCGGCCACCTGTGCCGTGCTTGGACAGCCACTTCCACCTCAGCTGCGGGCAGCCATCGCTGCCCCTTCACGCACACATCAGGGAGCAGCTTTGGCAAGGAGCACGGACAGGAGGCAGCCGTGCACAGGCGGGACACAGCCCTCAGTGCCTTCCCCGGATCCCACTTTCCTCTCCAGCTCAGCTCAGCCCAGCCCCCGGCTCAGAGTGCAGCAGGGCGAGGACTTAAGGTTCCCAACGAGGGAAGTGGCAAAAAGCAGTGCGGCCATTCAGAGCCAGCAGCTCCACGTGCCGTGGCTCAAACCTGTCCTCGCTGCGGCGCCCAGCGAGAGGAAGGCATTCCTCAGAGGTCGCCCCAAGGGCACAGCTCAAAACTCCCCATCAGAAATTCTCTTTCATCTCCCCAGCGCCTGGGCCGCCTCGAAACTGGCACAGCTCATTTGAATGGAAGCGTTCACCACCCACAGCCAACAGCTTCAGTCTGGAAATGGCAGCAAGAGGATATGGTGGGAGGCCCGTAAACAGTGAGCACTGCTGCAACAGCCCGCCCGGCCGCTGTGCAGGGTCTGGTAATGAAGAGAAGCCAGAGGGCGAAGTAAAAAAGGCGACGTTTCTGAACACATGAAAAGATGCTCGTTGGCAACCTCATTAGGATGGGGAACTCGCAAAGCTGCCAGCATGAAAAAGAAGCTGGATGAAAGCAGGGCATGCTTATATTCCATGTTCAGTGATCTCAGATGGCAACTGCGGAGGTAAGGGAGGGTGTGCAGCAGTCAGGTCCTGCAGCTTTGGGCTCTCACATCTTTTATGGGACAGCTTAACATGCAGACAGTTTTATGGAGTGGTATGCGCAGAGGTGCAGGGCCACCGACAGCCCGTGTCCCTCAGTGCCACATCCTCACCCTGCCCTGTGATGCAAAGCAGAAGCTTAATTGGAATTTAATTTCCCCAAACTCACATTGTGCTGGGCTGCAAACACTCAGGATAAAGCCACAGCAGGCTCCTGAGCAGCACAGGAGCAGGAGGTGGTGCTGGGGCAGGCTCAGTGCTGCATCTTTGCACTCCCTTCTCAATAGCAGCCTGGGCCTGGCCCCACAACCCCCAGCACCCCAAGCAAAGAGCTGAATGGGGCAAGGCGTTCATGGCCTCAGCTGCACTCCCAAGGGAGAGGCAGCACTGCTGTTCCCCACCCTCTGAACCTCCCAAGTCGCCAAACTGCAAACAGCAAGAGCCTCCAGGTAGCTTCTGCGCCTAGCTTCTCCCTGCCACATTCCCCATTCTGACGTTACCTCCTGGCTGCTGCTCAGCAGCCAGGCAGCACCGCTGGGCTTGGGGGACACAGAGCAGTCATTGCATCGCACATCTGCTCCTTGGTCCCTTCTGCTTCCCTCCTGCTCCCCTCCCCCAGCACTGCCCAGACACTACAGGAGCAGCACAGTGTGTCCCTGCCAAGGCAGAAAGGGAACCTGGTGGCAAGAGTGTCCCACACTCCCTGTGAATCTCGCCCTGCACAGGGCAGCTGCTTGGATCTACTCAAGATAGCAGGCAGCTCCCAGAGGAGCCAAACCAGGCAGTGTCTCACAGCACACATTTGTTTTCATGTTGCTCTACCTCCAAAGTATATACTCTGATCTCCATTACGGGACTGTGAGCTTCAGCGGCACGCCACCAGTGCAGCCAGCCAGTGGCAGCCCCTGAGCTGCCATTTCAGCTGCTTGATTGAGAGCTTGCAGCCTGAAGGCACACACCAAGGCTCTGCTCTAACAGCAATTAAAGCACAGCTCCTGCCTTTCAAGCTTCTGCAGAGGTGACTTTCTATGCAGGGAGGGCTGCGTGCTTCCCCACCGTCTGCACGATGTAGGGGCTGCTGCTCTGCCCCAGCCTTATGCAGCACCTGCAAACACCACCAGGCAAAGCAGGGTGATAGAATTAAAGCCCCTCTCCTGCTGCAGCACAGACCTGAACCCAGCAGGGAGATGGAGATGAGCAAGATCCAAAAGCAAGGGTAAGCAGTCCTGTCCTGTCAAGCTCACTTCCACGGATGCCCAAATTCACTGTCTTCAAAGAAGAGCAAGAAAAGCCTTCTCCTACAGAAAGCATTGTGCCCCCCATCGCTGGATGGAAGAGATGTGGGTTTCCTTCAGAGCTCAGTGAGAGAACGTGCAGACGGAAAGCACCAAGGCAGTGAAGATGGGACAGCTTGTTACAGGCTGCCAGGCTTCTTCCAGAGCACCAGGTGGGAACGTTCCAGCGCCTGCAGCCAGCTGGGAGAGCCTGGGGAGACGCTACATTGTAGACACTTACAGGCAAGTGTTAGGGAACTCATCCGGGAAGCTGCAAGGGAGAGAGGCGTCTGCGCTCAGGGTTGCCTGCTCCCGAATACTGCCACACCCTGTCACCATCTGCCAGCTGCCAAAGTCTGTGGAAACGGAAGATCCGGGCAGAGAATGGTCCGCCGATCTGGGGCAGAGAGAGAGGGAGATGGGGCCATCAGTCAGGTCATCAGCCACACGCCTCCCGCTGCGCCGCTGCCAGGGGGACGGCCGCCAGCAGCGCCGGTGCCAGCAGTGCTGGCACTCTGGCAGCAGGGCAGCATGCAGCGCTGGCTCGGCCCCGGGCCAGGCCTTTCCTCTGATTGCCTGAGGAGAGCCAAGCTGGTGAGGCAACCGAGCGGCACAGGTGCCTCAGGAGCCAGGCAGATCAAAGCTAGCGAGAAGCAGATGGCCATGCAGAACAGTGAGACCCTTTAGCGAGATGCAGCAGCCCCAAATCCCACACAGATGTGGAGCATCCACCTGTAGCTCATTTCAGCTGTGAGCGCATCCCAGGGCAACGGCAAAGCCTGATGGAGAGCTGTGGCTGTGACTGGCTTGCTGGTGAGGAAGATTTAGAGACCCACGGTCTGCAGAGGCAGTATCACCAGCGCTGAGCAGGACTGTCCCTGTGCCTTGGGGCACCCACCGCCCTGCAGCTCCATCCCCGGATTAGGAGGGTGGGCTGTGCTGGGGAGGTGCAACTTTAGAATGTGAAACATAATTAAGAGAAGGCTTGCAGGATGTAACCTTCCACCAGGAAAGCAGGGAACAAGAAAGCTGAGAAGTGAGCCTGAGGAGTCCCTCCAAAATCCAAGCAGTGGGCAAAATCACCTGAGTGGAACCCTGAAGTCTCAGCTTTCTGGGAGCAAGCCATTACTGTGCCCTGCTGCACAGCAGCACGCACACTGCTGGAAGCACAGCCTGTGGCAGAGCTACTCAATTACACACTACCAAGATCTTGTGGATAATTTATCTGAGATGTGCCGAGCACAGAGCAGTGCAAGAGCTCCAGCTCTGCTGGGCCAGGTACTCGCATGCTGTCTTCACAGCTAAGAATAGCTGTGGCGCAGTGCAGCTGCTCCCCGAGAGGCCAGAAGAGCAGCCAGAGCCACAGGATCTGCTACAGCATGGAGGGCCTCGGTGAGAATGGGGAAACACAGGGTAAAGTCCATCTGTGATCCAGATCTAAGCCTGGCATTTAGCGAGTCTGATCAATATATCCAAGCTTGAGAAATACAGCCCCGAGCTGCACACGAGCTTCCCCTGGCAGTGCTGGTGATCCTGCAGCTGCAGGCTGAGTAATGCCTCTTCTTTCAGGTCCAGGCTCTGGAAGGGCAGCACAGGAAGAAATGGGAAGAACAGAGCACTGACTGCCTTGTGCAACACTTGTCCTCAGGCTGTGAGGTGAACCAAGTGAGTTCAGAGAGCAGTTGTGTGCCTAGCACTGAGAAAATGCTTTCTTCCAAAAAGGTGTTTTTTCTAGAGCACGTAACACTGCAGTAGGAACAAGGGCATCTCCTACCTTGGATCTGGAGCTGCAGCACATACTGGTAGAGATGAGACAGGGATAACCCTCCCTGGGATACAAGGAATTCATAAAGCAAACGGAGCAGCTTTTTACTGACATCTATCCCTCTCCCT